CCTGTGGATTTAGCTCCGTGGGGTCATCATTGACCTTGGTGAGCAAGCTGCGGGCAGCAGCGCGGGTGGCAGCCGGGCTGCAGGGGGCTGAGGAGGGAGTGGAGGGGAGGCTGTCAGTGGTCTGGAGTGACTTCAGGCAGTGCCTGCACGCACGGCTCAATGCTCTGCATCCGAGGGAGGTGGGGGGACCCCAGGAGGAAAGTCCAGCGCCTGAGTGTCCTCCCAGGATGGCCCCAGCCTTCACTCGGCAGGGGGGTGGCGGCGGCAGCGGTGGCAAGGGTTCGGTAGGGCCACGAGGAGCTCCAGGGAAGCCCAGGGCGGGGCGGTGACGGAGAGGGGGAGGCCTGGCTGCCGACAGGCCCCAAACAGCTCAGATTCAAAAACAAAACAGGCTTTTAAGATGCCAAGTTTGATGAAATCTGAGTGCTAGAAGAGGTGGGAGTTTTCTCTTGGAAAAACAGCTGAAAATTGAGACTGAAAGCTGCGAAGGGAGATGGGCCCAAGGCTCCCCAGGCCCCCCTGACTGCCTGGAAGCTGGGTTCTCCAGGAGAGTGGGAGCTCGTGGTTCTGTGGGGCCTTCTGCCCTGCTGGGGGTGTCTCTGTCCTGACACTGCTGAGGACAGAGCTGCCCCGGAGCCAGAGGTAGCCTTGGCTTCCTTGGAGTGCCTGAAGGGCAGGGGAGCTGGCAGCCTTGCCACCCACGAGGCTCCTACCTGTGTCTGTGTCCCTGTGTGTGCGTCCAGGTACACAAGTCTCAGTGTACGTGTGTCTCTGACAGAGCATGTCTGCACATGTGTTTCCGTGTCCACATGTCCCGCCTCTGGCTCTGCTGACATGAGTCTTTCCACAGGTGCATGCCACTGCAGGTGCCCGTCCACATGCACATAGAGGTTTCTATTTTTGCACCTGTCTCTCCATGTGTGTCTCTGGGCCCCTGGCTGTTTCTAAGGTACTAGGAAGGTATCTGTATAATCAGAGACAGGGCGAGGCCAGACCCAGCACTCAGGAATAGGGGAGGGGGTCAGGCTCACAGTCAGTGCCAGCCCAGGGATGTGCGCGCAGAGTGGCCCCCGGGGCTGGGTCAGCACGGCTGCAAAGAGTGTGCTGACAGACGGTGCTGCGGGCCCTGGGGCCCTGGGACCCTGCAAGCCGCCTCCATCTGTCAGCTTCCGTGGTGCAGGCCCCCCGCTCCCCGCCCCGTGGCCCAAACTCCGCCTCAGCCACCAACACCAGGCAGAGTTGGACAAAGGGACTTGTGTGTGCTTTGTAGAGGGCCTCAGCAGCCTCCCTGGGCCCAGTCACTGCAGCCTGCCCAGGCAGTCCTCTGACCACCCCACCCTGGCTTCAGCTATCAGCACCCCACAGAGCCCCCTGCTCCCACCAGACTCACCTGGCGGCTGCTCTCCCCCTCCCCACAGAAAGCTTTCTGCCCCCCAGTGTTACTTCCTCCTGGGAGCCGCCAAGATAGCAGGTGGGCCATGGGGTCAAACAGCCAGCTCCATTACAAGGCTTCAGCCACTCCAGCCCTACCCACTCTCCCTGCCAAAGCCCCCCACCCCCAGGCCTGGCATCTTCCACTGCCGTGGAACAGCGGGACCCCCTGCAGGGAAGGCTGTGGGGATCTCCCACTGCAGTGTCCAGAAGCCTGCAGCCGGCGGTGCAGAAGCCGTTCCCGCACACGTGCGCGCCCACCACAGGTGCCTACAGATTTTTGTGGGCAGAACAAACTGTGGGGAATGTGGGTGCTACCTGTGCACAAGCCGGCGCACGGTACTGGGCACCGGGTGAGGGCCAGGCGTGTTGCGACGACTTGGAGCAGGAAAGCCCAAAGGGAGGGTTCCCCAGAGTCGCTGAGCCAGGTCCTGGGGGCTGTGGGGGTGTTGCGGCCGCTCCGCCCAGGCCGGGGCGGGAAGGGCGGCGCCCAGTCGACCGCGGATGCGCGCGCCTGCACGGACACGCGCAGCCCTTCCGCCGCGGCGCCCGCCTCTCCGCCGTCGCCATGGTTACCGGGTGGCCTGGAGGGGGGAGGGGCCCTTCCTTCCATCCCGCGCCGGCCGCCCCTCGGTCACCCGCCTGGCGCGATTTGAGGGACCTGGGCGTACCTCCCGGTTGTGGGCCATAGGTGTGTGCCCGCGGGTGTCCACGTGTGAGGACACCGGGGGCTCCCTATGCGGTAAATACTGGCTCCACCGGGGTTGGGTTGGGGTCTGCAGTGGAGCCCTGAGCCCCGCCCCTAGCCGGCCTGGGGTGAGGGGGGGGGCGGAGCGCAGTTCCCGTGAGAAGCCCCTCACCTGCCGGCCCCCAGGGCTTGCAGGTGGTTCCGAGGAAGTTGGGGTCCTACCACCTGGTCTCAAGGCCAGCCCCACCCCCTGTTTAACTGTGTGACCTTGGGCAGGTTTCCACAGCTCCCTAAGCCCCGGTGTGCTGGTGTATCTCACAAGGGTTTTGGTAAAGATTGAGTCGATTTGTGAAGAGTAAAAAGGCTCTGTCTGTGTAACCTGTTAGCCCTCGCGTCCATTTCCCCAGTCGCTGATGGGTTTGGGGTGCTGATGTGATGTGAGCCTGAGCCACTTGCCTGGGGTACTCACCAGCCCTGTGGGTACTTGGGGGTGCTGTGGGTGGGTCTGTTTATACCACCGTGCTCAGAGCTGCAGTTGAATGTGCTGGGTGGGGTGGAAGAAGGAAGCAGGCAGCAGCGGTCACTGCTGTGGGGCTCTGCGCCTTCCTGGGAGACCCGGGGTGTCAGGACAGCAGCACGGGAGTGCAGCCTGGACTCCTGCCTGGCGCAGGGACAGGCGTGGGGTCCCGCTGTTTTATGGACAGCTCTTCACACTTGCTGGTGTCAGGCTCTGGCGGCAGTGCCTGAGGGATGATCTGAGCCAAGGACGGAGCCATTGAGGGCGCGATAATTGAGGGAGGAAAATTAATTGTCCTTAATTTGGCATAAATCCCAAAGACCTTCCCCGTGTCAGGAATTCAGAGTGGATTCCTGGGACACAGGGCTGCAGACGACTATGTGTTTTCCCCTTCTCCTTGATGGGTACCTTGCGGGTAGAGATGGAGACCACCTGATTGGTGGGCCCTGATCCTAAGCAGGCTCCCCTGTCTGCCGTCCCCTGCCCGCAGGCCCTATGAGGGCTGAGCAGGTGGGAGTGAGGTCTGGGCAGAGCCAGACTGGGGTCCTGGCGGGCAGGATGGCTCTAGCAGCCCTGAGTGTCCCTCAGGTCCCACCCAACGGGGCCTTCCTGTAAAGCCGGTGGGGGCAAGGCCAAAGGAAGCCATCGCCCTGCCTGGCGCATCCCTAGCCTCTTCATTCCCTGCCTCCCTCCATGCGCCTGCTGCTGGTTAACATTTTCTTTTTAAAAATCAGAGTTGAAAGTCAGGGCGCTGTGGGATCATATTTACAGCCAAGGAAACGCTGGGTTTACATCCGGAATTTATAGGGCTGCGTCCAGCCGGCTTCTGGGAAGGACTGGGGCGGGGAGGCCGTGCCAGGGGTCCTGCTTCTTCCCAGAGCCAGACCCTTCTCCTCATGGTGTCCCTGTGGGATGGCGCTGGCACCTGGAAACACCTGGGGTCTGGCAGCGGACACGGGGGCACCTTGCTCCTGCCCGTTCGCTCCTCCAGCTTCCTCTCCTTCCCCTGCCCGCTCACTCCCCCTGTCCCCAGGGAGGGCCTGCTCTGCCAAACCTTGACTCTGTCCCCTCCGAGCAGGCCAGGTGCTTTAGTCCTGGCATAGGTGTCTGGCCTCGGCAAATGCTCCCACATGCCTGCCCTGTGCAGGGCCTTTGGGAGGGAGCTGTACAGTGGCCCCGTCTCCCCCACTAAGGAGCCCAGCTCTTGCTGGAAGGTGGACAAAGGACAGAGGGTCCCCCTTGCTCCCGTTGGGTGTACCTGACGTCCATACTGGAGGAGAGGCTCTGCCAGTTCTCACAGACACCTGACAGTTTGCTCCCAGTGGAGAGGGCCCCTCACCAGCCTAGGGTGGCAAGGGGGGCCTAAGCCCTAGCCCCAGCACCCGTCTACCCGGTGACTCAGCCCTTATTAGTTGCAGTAGTGTTGGCTGATGGTCGCCAGGCACAGGTTCTGTTCTCAGCTCCCTGACACCTTGGGAGCAATATTGGATGTGGTCCTGTGGTGACTTCACGAGGTGGGCACTTGAACCTTGTGTACGGATCGAAGCAGAGACGCAGAAAAGGATGGCAACCCATCCCGACCCAGAGCTAGTGAGCAGTGGAGACAGGAGTCCGACCAGGTCTTCCCTAGTCCAGAGCCTGTCCTCCCGGCTCCTCGTGCTTCCAAGGGACGAGGGGACGCAGCCTTCAGGGCTCCTGCAAGAGTCCGTGTGCAGTGGGAGTGGGCTGTGCTGATGCCTGTCCCCGTCGCTCCTCTGAGAAGTGGGCTGCAGCCCATTGAGCAGTACTTCCCTGGCCTCCTTCCTTGGTACATCCCTATAGCTTCTACATGTTCAGAAACAGTCAAGACTGCAGTTGAGACGCGATGGAAGTGAGGACCCGGGTTAGAAGGGGATCCTTGGCAGGGCAGGGGGGTCCAGGGTAGGCCCGGAGCCCAGGCTGTGACCTGGGCTGTGCCATGGGGTGACTGAAGGCTGGATGCAGGCATGGAGGGAGCACTGCGTGTGCAGGCAAGGGTGCAGGTTGTGGCTGTTGATGCTGCGTGAGCTGAGGGCCCTACAGCCTGGTGTCCACCCGGCGTGTTCTGCTGTGGCCAGCAGAGCATCGATCCGCGTTCTCAGGGCCTAGAGAGATAAGTGCTGACACCTTCAGTCTGAAGCACTGCTTCTCAGACCTGGAAATTCTCTCCCTGGGCCAGGGTGGGCCCCGCTGCAGCCCCCGGCCCTGCCAGAGGGACTGAGGACCCTCGTCCCTCGCGTGAGGGGAGGCTTCGTGCTTACACGTCCGGGGTTGGGGAGAGGGTCACCGCCTATGGGGGTCTTGGGCTGCGCAAGGCCGGCGCTAACATGTCCACTCTGTCTGCAGTGGAGCAGCTGCCCTCTGGCTTCCCCACCATCGACATGGGGCCGCAGCTGAAGGTGGTGGAGAAGGCACGCACAGCCACCATGCTGTGTGCAGCAGGCGGAAACCCAGACCCGGAGATCTCTTGGTTCAAAGACTTCCTTCCCGTGGACCCCTCCACGAGCAACGGCCGCATCAAGCAGCTGCGTTCAGGTGAGCTGAGGGTCGAGGGGCCGCCAGACTTCAGGAGAGGTGTCTTGCCTCGTGGGCCTAGGTGTCTGGGGGCTGACCCGCCAGGGCTGGGGGCCAGGTCTCACGCCAGGCCCCCAGGCCCAGGGAAGAGCATGCTGGTGACAGCTCGTTGTCTACTGGGCCTTTACCTTCCTGGGTTTGTCAGACTCGGTTGGCTCTGGGCCAGTCCTGCCGCCCCCAGCTTGTGTAGCGTGCTCCGTGCGGCGAGCTCTACGCAGGTGCTCTGTGGGTATTTGTCCTCCACTTTCCCCATGGCCTGGAGCTTAGCCTCATAAAGAGACCAAAAATGCCTGGTTGATCAGGCTTCAAAAGGCTGGACCTCAGGGGCCCAGAGCCCAGGGAGGACTTGCTGCCGCCCCTCGGCCACCAGAGCCACCAGTCTCCTTTGGCTGCCTCAGTGGAGCCGGCTCAGAGCCCTGGGAGCACGGATGCCGTTGCGACCAGGCAGGAGGTGTCGCCCAGTTGATCGATCTGCCTGTGAAGCTCCCGCCAGGATAATTGATTCCGATTTTGTGGGAACGGAGCGGGTGGGAAAAGAGGCCTGGAATCAGCTTGACTGCATTCTGTGTCTGCCGCCAGCACAGGCTGGACCAACAGAGCTCGCTCCAGAGGTCCTGCTGGCTGCGGGATGGTGGGCCTCAGGCGGATGGCCGGTGCCGGCCAGAGCCCCTGCTGCCCATCAGCTGTGATGGCGAGCGTCGAAAAGGAGGACACGACGCTGCCCCTGTCAGGGCCCTGCAGGCGTCCGCCACTCCCTGGGGTACCGGATGCTCCCCACCAGCTCTCACCAGGCCCACGCCCGCCTCAGTGCCCAAGGGGAGGAGGAAGAGATGAGCCACCCAGCAGGGCAGAATCCGGCCCCAGCCACGGCCGCCTGAGACAGCCCACGAAGTGTTAGCTCATTTAATTTAATTAAAACTCAACAAGATGGAGGCAGCTGTAGCTCAGTTAATTAAAACAGCCGTAATCAAGGCAGGAAACGGTCCGGCAGCGTTGGTGGCCGCTGCCCAGCACTGCACAGCGGCCGGCTCGGTTCGGCTCCCCTGTGTGTCTTCCGTGGTTCCCCCAGGCAACCTCCCCAAGCAGCCAGACTGTGCTCCCCGCAGGCCTGGGCGCCTCCTCCGTCCGTGGTGGGCAGTGGTTTTGGGAAGCCGCCCTGTCCCGCGCATTCGGTCATCACGTGTTCCTGCGGGGCCTGCTGTGTGCCAGGCCTGTGCCACCCTCTCCCTGCCACTGCCCCTCGGGTGCTGCTCGGCCGCGTCCTCCCTCCCACCTTCCCTGCAGCGGGGCTTCCCCTGCTCCTTGCTGCGGCCCAGGGCCCCGAGAACCGAGCCGGTGCCCTGCGGGCTCGCCCACACCCCTACAGCTCCCGCTGCCACCTCCAGCCCAGACAGCGACATCTTGCCTGAGCTCCGACACACAGGTCCGGCTGCCTCGTGGGTGTCCTGCTGGCCAGCACAAGTGGTGACCTCCTTCCCACACGGCTGTTGACTTTGTCTACACGGGACAGTCCCCCCAACCTGAAACCCGCGAGACCCTCCCCCACCCCTACTCCAGTAAGGGACCAAGGGCCCTTGGTTTTCACCCACGCGGCTCTCACACTGGTCCTTCTGTCCTGCCATTGCCGGGGTGCTCTCCCTGGCACACGCCCAGGCTCTCCGGGAGAGTCTGCCCTCCAGGCCTAGTCAGAGCTTTCTGCCTGTATCCCTCCCATGCTCCGACACTTCTGGGTCATGGTCAAGTCCATGCTCCCAGGGCAGGTGCAAGGCAGAACCCCAGTGTTGTCCCCTGCTCGCATCGCCAGCCGCACCCTCACTGGCTCTGTGCCCTGAGTTACTTCTTGCAGCATCGTCTTTCTCATCCTTAAAGAGGAGTTACAGTAAGGAGTGAGTGAGACAGGGCAGCCAGAGTCAGTTGACCACCAGGGCCCCCGCGGACAGAGCTGTTCCTGCCTATTGCTGCAGCTCCACTCGCCCTGAACTGCGCTGCTCCAGCCTCACCCACCTCCTGGCCCTCCGCTCGCCTTCCGCTTCCTCAGCTTGAAAGCCTCCACCCATTGGAGCCTCGGGCGCCTCCTTCAGGACTCATCCCACTTGTCGTCATCACTGCTGTGTGCTCCACGCAGCTCGCCTGGGCTGGGCACCTCTTGCAGGGAGGACTTGGGCCCCCCAACCCAGCACAAGCCCAGCCACAGGCTAGCTCTCTCTGAGCCCCAGTGGAATGAATGAGCTCATGAACTTGATCGTGGCCACCTGTCCCTGCAGACTGATGTCCACTTCTCTCCCCACTTCCCAGGGCCATGCTCTTTGTTTGACCTTCCCTGCCACCTAGAAGCCGTGATCCTGAAGGTCATGGTCCAGTCCAAGCTCCTGAGGGGCCTTATTCATCCCACCCTGCAGTGGCAAAATGACCTTCCCCGTGTTTGTCTGACCTTTGGCCCCAGCGGCTGCTGCCCCTGCACCATTGCCATTTAGCAGGGTGATGGGTGTGGCTGTTCCCTGTGTGTTTCACAGCCACGTCCCTTTGTGGAGTGGACGCAGGCCCCCGAGCACTCGGCTTGCACAGGGACCTCCTCGGCTTCTGCATCACTGACAGTATACAGAGTGCTTTGCCACCCTTTGTTGCGGCCGACTCCCCTGCGGCCCTGGGAAGCAGGACAGGCTGGGATTATCCTGCCCGACTCCCAGCTGGCTTAAAGGAGTCACCTGGGGTGACTGGGCCCGGGAGCTCCCCTGTGAGGTCCCAGCAGGGCCTGGGAAGTGTCTCTGCATCTGCACAGTCCCCTCCTTCAGACCTCAGGCCCCCACTGACCAGTACGCAGAGCTCCCCTGGAGGCTGTGACCTGAGCACTTGTAACTAGGGTGTACCCCCAGGGCAGGAAGTAGACAGGAGGCCGCCACGGCATGCGCCACCCAGGCCTGGGGCGTTTGAACCTGAGACCCAGTGTGGGCCCCAGAGTCGCAGCCACACTTGAAGAGAACGCGGAGCACGCTAACCTACCCTAGTGGGGCTCATAGCCACCATTGGTGCTAGAAAGAGCTCTTGGCCCATGAGCTCTGCCAGCCTGGACAGAGCCTCAAGGACATTGCTGTGTTCCTGCGTGTGGCCTGAATGTGCAAGCCACCATCCCAGTCACTGCAGAGGACAGCCTAACACCACTGCCACGCTCCCGAAGTGCCTGAGCCAAGGCCTGGTGGCCTTGAGAAGAGTAGGCAACGCAGAGGCCTGGTGCCTGTGGCCCCTACTCTGCTGGCTCCAGCTCTGATGGAAGAGCCCAGCCACTGTCTCTGCCCCACCTCCCACCAGGCCTGCAGAGGGCGCCATGCGAGTGTGTGGTCTGTTGCCCTTTGGCGCTAAGCTGGTCAGCATCTCGAGCACAGCCCTGGGAACTGACCCAGGACTCCCCTTACTCCCCCACCTGCATCTTATGAGATGGAAACATTTGCTGGGGAAGTTGCTGTTTGGAGAGGTGCAGAGATACACCAGGTGGCAGAGCTGAGGCCTGGAGCCGTGAGTCGCTCTCCCCAGGCCCTGCGTGGGTCAACGGCTGTCAGCTCTGAGATGTCAGCATCCCTTGTTGTGACTCAGCAGGCCTGAGAGCTTTCCTTAGGTGGCTGCTGCTGCTTTTAAAGACTTATTTATTTATTTGAAAGGCACTCTTCCATCCGCTGGTTCACTCCCCAGATGGCTGCAACAGCTGAAGCTGGGCAGATCCAAAGCCAGCAGGCAGGAGCTTCTTCCCAGTCTTCCACATGGGTGCAGGGACCCAGATACTTTCTGGACCATCTTCCACTGCTTTCCCAGGCCATAACAGAGAGCTGGTTCGGAGTGGAGCAGCTGGGACTTGAACTGACGCCCATTTGGGATGCCGGCACTGCAGGTGCTTTACCCACTATGCTACAGTGCCGGTCCCCCCTCCTCTTTTATTTAAGGCTTATTTTTTTTATTTGAAAGACAGAAATAGAGAAGAGGAGGAGAGAGAAAATGAGTGAGGGAGCGAGAGAGAGAGATCTTCCATCCACTGGTTTACTCCCCAAATATCCCAATGGCTGAGGCTGAGCCAGGCCTAAGCCAGGAGCCAGGAGCCAGGAGTTTCATCCAGGTCTTTCCTGTGGGTGCAGAGACCCAAGTACTTGGGGAATACCCCCCTGCTTTCCCAGGCACAGTAGCAGAGAGCTGGATAGGAAGTAGAGCAGTTGGCACTGGAGCCAGTGCCCACGTGAGTTGCCAGCACTGCAGGCAGAGGCTTAACCTTCTGCACCACGGTGCCGGCCCCCAGTCGTATGGCTTCTATTGATCGCTCTTCGCCATGTTAGATGTCAAGACTGAGAATATTTTTAATATTTTCCAATATGCTTTAAATAAGTTTTAAGACCTGTTACATGTTACCATAAATAGCATTTTTAAGTGAAAAATAATTATATTTTCTAAAACAAAAAGCATTCCATGAGAACATTGTTTTACAAATCTCTTTAATTTGGGGTTTAGTAGCAGGCAGCTGGATTCTCATTACTGGGTCTGGCCTATTACGATACCACACATCGTGTGTCCTCGGGGGAGCTGCTGTATTCTCGAGAGAGGGTGAGCAAGGCACGGGATTCCGTAGTATCATGGAAATGGCTTTGACCTTGGGACCCCTGAGGGACCTAGGACCACACTTGAAGAATCCCTGATGTTCCCTCCAAACGCCCTGTGCTCCCCTCACTTCCCCTCATCCCAGCGGCGTGCTCGCAGGCTGTGTCACGGGCTTTGGGCAAAGCACTTTACGTCTTTCGGCCTCTGTTTGCGGCTTTGTATGTAGAGATGTCTCATTTCTCCGGGCGGGCGTCATGGAGTTGGGTGAGACAGTGGACGGTGCTCGGCTCTCCGTACACTTCCCATCCCCCAGCAGTGGGCACGGAGGGGCAGGCAGGAGAGAGCTGGACCCGGCTCTGCCCACGGGCGCCTTGCTCCTCTGGAGGAGAAGTGGATGGACGGTGGCCTGAGCCTGGGCGGAGGCCTCTCTCAGGAAGAGAGCTGGCGCAGACCTCAGGGTAGGCCTGGGCTTGGCGCATGAGTGCTTGTCCTTGTGGCTGCCGACTGCCACGTTAGGAGGCCCCAGGCAGGCTCCCGCCCCTGCCAGTTGGCTGTGGGCGGCTTGGTAGTCACCCGGCCTTCAGCAGGGTCAAGTGGGCTGCTTCACCGAGCCCTGCCGGCTGCCGGAGCTGGTCTGCGTGTCGATGGGGACCTAGTCTGAGCCCTCTCTTTGGCCCTTTCTCCTGCCTACACACCCCGGTTTGTTAAGTGCTTTGTTTTGGAATCTTCCTCACTTGTGGGATTTGGGGGACCCTGTGAGGGTGCAGCTACTCTGTCTCTTCACCTTCCTTCTCCACAGACCCCCAGTGGCTCCCTCCAGATTCCTGCCGCCCCCCTCCCCCCCCGCGACAGCCCCGACCCACTCGGAGCAGTGCCAGTGACTCGGGGTGCTCGCCCACACATCCCTGCGTCAGCCGGACCCAGGCCTTAGTCTCTCCACGTAGCACAGGCCTTTCCTTGTGTTTGGTTTTATCTGACTGCTTTGTGCGGCTCTCCTGCCTTTGTACTAATGCTTCTCTCTGATCTTATTTGCGTTCAAATTACCTCGCCAGGTGGTTCACCAATCAGAGGTAAGAATGCTGTCCGTGCATCTCGCCACACCACGCCTCGCCACTGCCGTCACCACCACTCCATCCCGTCCAGTCCGTCACCTCCCCATCCCCATCCCGACCATCTCCGGCTCTGGCCCCCGACACCACTGGCACCACACACATCCACTCAGCCATTCCCTCCTGTGGACTCATCCATTCCAAGTCTGAGTTGTGGAGACACCAGCTGAGCCCCCCCATGGAGGGCCAGCCCCACACAGGGGACCCCGTCAGCCGCAGTGGAGCAGCCTAGCCTGTCCCAGGCTGGCTGTCGATGGAGATGCTTCCTGTGAGGTTGGGGGCTTGACCCAGCCTTGCCTTTCTTCTCTTTTCCGAGGGGCCAAGTTATGACTTGCCTTCTCTTTCCGTGTCTCGATCCTGCAGTAGAATGAGGATCATCCCTTATGTCCCTTCAGCCCAGCAAGGACAAGGAACAGCTCTCCCTGAGGACCTGAGTGCGGATGCTGGGAGAAGAGGCTCCTGACATGCTGGCTCACCTGACCTGTCACGCAGCAGGCAGGGCACAGCAACCTAGTGGTTGAAGCACAGGCCAGACTTAGGAAAATCCAGGTTCAAGTCTGACTTTCCACTGTGCAACCTTCAAACAGCCAACACACCTCTCCGAAGTCTGCTTCCCCTTCTCTGAGCTGGGGCCAAGGCCAGCTGCCCACAGGGTGGCAAGGGTTAGAGGAAAGAACGTGTTCGTGCACACCCAGACCCCCCCGGGTTCAGGGCCGTGCTGGTCTCAAGACAGAAGCTGGGGCTGGGAGCAGCCGCTGCCTCCCTGTGGAGCGTCTTGTCCGTGCCCACATCCTTGGGTCCCCCACACAGCCAGGCAGCGGACATTGACACTTTGCAGTCCCTGTTGTTGGGTCCTGGTGTTGGCAGCAGATTTGGAGGTTTCTGTGTGCAGATAGGCACGGGGTCTGTGTTGGGTCCCCTGACTGGACTTAGGCTCTTATTCCTGGGGAGCTCCTTCCTCCCATGGGCAGGAATCCCCCCAGGCCCCACTTCCTGCTCCCAGCCTGTGGCACTGGCCCCCAGGCTTGTCCCCGGCCCTTTTACCTATGAAGTTCACCACCTGAGGGCAGCCCCCACCAGCCAGGAGGCTGTTTCCCTTCTGCTTGAATGAACATTCCTTTTTTAAAACTTTTTTTAAAAAAAGATTTATTTATTATTTTTTATTTAAAAAGCAGAGTTACAGAAATAGAAACACAGAGAGATCTTCCATTCACTGGTTCACTCCCCAAATGACTGCTGGGCCAGGCCAGGGCCAGGAGCCGGGAGCTTCATCCTGGTTTCCCACATCAGTGACAGGAACCCAGGTTCTTGGGCCATCTTCTGCTTTCCAGCACATTAACAGGAAGCTGGATCAGCAGTGGAGCAGGGGTCCAGGGTTGTGGGGTAGCAGGTAAAGCTGCCGCCTGCAATGCCAGCATCCTATATGGGCACTGGTTCAAATCCCAGTTGTTCCACTTCTGATCCAGCTCCTGGCTAATGCGTCTGGGAAAGCAGTGGAAGACGATGCAAGTGCTTGGACCCCTGCACCCACTTAGGAGATCTGGCAGAAGCCCCTGGCTCCTGGCTTCTGATCAGCCCAGCTCCTGCCATTGTGGCTGTTTGGGGAGTGAACTGGTGGATGGAAGATTCTCTCTCTCTCTCTCTCTGTCTCTCTCTCTCTCTCTCTGTGTGTGTGTAACTCTGCCTTTCAAATAAATAAATAAATAAATAAATAAATCTTATTTAAAAAGTGCAGCAGCTGGGACACCAACTGGTACCGATATGAGATGCTGGTGTTGCAGGTAGCAGCTTAACCTGCTATGCCACAGTGCTGGCCCCAAATGAAATATGTAACAGGGTCCCTCCATCCCATCAATGTGGCCTGGTGGTGCCCAGTGGAGAAGGCTGAGGCCAAGGCCTCGGAGGCAGCCCTTAGTCCTGGCTTCTCTCTTGCTCCACCTCCAGCCCCCAGCCCCTGGAGGTTTGTAGCCCCTCCTGCTGCCCTGTGTGTGCATGGTGGAAGGGAAACATCAGGTTCGGACCCGGAGACCCAGACTCTTGGCATGGGCATGGCTTGGGACCCCTCCTGTGGCTCCTGTCCAGTCCAGTTAGGTGGGGCCCAGCAGATCCTGTCTGTCCTGTGTGGGTGTGATCATCAGTCTGCCACCCCCGGCTGGGGGCAGGGGGCTATCAGGGTTGTCCCAGCTGTTCTGTGCAGGAGGTGGTTGCTGTCAGACCGTGTCCTGTGGGGGTTATTAACTGTCCATCGGCCTGTCCTGTGTGGGTGTAATTGTCTGTCGGCTTGTTCCGGGGAGGGCTTTGGGGCCTGTGTCTGGGGTGTTCCTGTCACAGACAGCTTGCCCAGTGCTTTCGCAGCAGTTCTTGCGAGTTTTTATTGCTGGGGCTGCGGCTGGGGCTGGCCAAAAGTCAGCCATGTGGCTTCGCCTCCGCCCCGGCCTGCCCGCTGCGGGCTCCCGGACCTGGCCTTCCAGCACTGGCTCCAAGCCCAAGTCCCTCTATCCTCTGTGAGGGTCCTTTCCAGCTGCCCCTCCGTTCCTGGCTCCCGTCTGTCCGACCGCGGCCAGAGTAGCCCCCCAGGGTGCTGGCCCGGGTGGGAGCTGCAGCCTCCATTAGCCTCCTGAATTATGCAGGAGCGTGGTGGGTCGAAGCACTTTAGCAGGAGCAGGCTGAAGAGAGGAGCCGGAATGGGTGGGGCCGGCTGGGTGGGGGTGGCGTGGGAGGGGAGGATGGGGGCCAGGAATAGAGGCCGCGGGGCACCAGGCCCACAGGCCAGGCCTCTCCTCCTTCCTGCTCAGGCTATCCTACCAGGGCTTTGCAGCTTTCAGATCCCAGGCTGCAGGCCACTCCCACACCTGCCTCCGGTGAGCACTGGCGGGGAGGCCCACTGGCAAACAGGCTGTTGGACTGGCAGGAGCACAACAGACAGTGCAGTTAGAGGAGCAGAGATGGGCCTGGCAGGCCTGCACGGTGGGGTGGGATTGTGCTCCCAAGCGCAGCTCTTGGTTCTAGCATGGAGGCCACTTCCCCCCACCCCCACCCCGAGAACTGCTCAGAAGCCCATACGAACTGCGATTTCTGATCCACATAGCTGTGGGTGCTGTTGAGACCCCTTTGTGCATTCCAGGCTGCCCTTGACGTGGGCAGTATCTGACCCCTCCCTCTTGTGTCCCTGCAGGTGCCTTGCAGATTGAGAGCAGTGAGGAGTCGGACCAAGGCAAGTACGAGTGTGTGGCGACCAACTCAGCAGGCACACGCTACTCGGCCCCTGCGAACCTGTACGTGCGAGGTAAGGACTCGGCAGTGCCTGGCCTCAGTCACCGCGGAGCTGAGCTGCACCTGCTGGGCTCGCTGCCTCGAGCCCTTGGTGCAGGCATGCAAGGGGCCGCCAAGGACCCAGTCTCTCCTCCCTGCCTCTTTCCACAGCAGCTCCCACTGGGCAGACTTCTAGCGTCGCCACTGCTTGCCTTTCTTCCTCGCAGGCCCTTGGGGAAGCAGCCACTCTTGGGAGCATTTGTGTCTCGTGTCTCTTGTAGGTCCTGCCACATGAGCCCCTGGGAGTCTAGAGCCTTCCCAGCAGACGTCCTGGTGTCTGTGTTGTCTGTACAGGCATGGACATTTGTGTGAACGTGTGCCTGTTTGACCTGGCCTTCCTCCAGTGTGTTCTGCTGCCCTGCTAGGGTCGGTTCCAAGACCACGCTGGCTCTGTTCTTTGGGACAATCAGGCTTCTGGAATGGACCAGGTGGGAGCCTGTCCCCTGGGCAGGTCTGCGTGCAGCCTCGCCGTAGGAGCCAGCTGTGTTCTGTCCCCAGCCAGAGCCTTCATGCAGGGGTTCAGACTGAGCCTCTGTGGGTACGTTGCTTTGGCTGAGCCCTCGCTGTGTTCCTGAGCCCAGGAGAGAGGGCCTGGGGAACATGCTGGGGTGTCCAGTCTCTGCTCTGCACTCAGCCCCAGGGCCTCACACTGACCACATGGCCCCTTCCTGAGAACACATAGGGTCTGGTGTGCAAGATGCCTGGCAGGGCCCCCCTCCTCTTCTGGCCTTCACTTAGTCCTGCTGCACAGATGGATGGCATTGAAAGTTAAACCATCTCTGCTCAGGGGATTTGTGAGGGAAAGGAAGCAGCTTCCTTGCAGCAGTGGTTTCATCACCTAAGTGCCTCGTGCAGCTTTACCAGGGCTGCCGTCTGACTGTTCCCTTAGCGCACAGCACACGGGTGATGGCAGCGCCAGGCCCTGGGGAGTGAGAGGCCACCACTTTTGGGCAGGCTTGCAGAGGGAGGCCACCGAGCTCTCATCACGGGCTGCTGTGGACCAGACCCAGGGTGCTACTGCAGAGGACTTGGGCACAGCCTGTGGGGAAGCAGGGAACTCAGAGAAGCTGGTAGTGATGGGTGCTGTGTGCTTTGAGGCTCATTGAAGACACGGGAGTGGGAGCTGTGGGGTGGGAAGCCCCCGCCCCCTTGTTGCCAGGTTCCTGGCACCAAGCTTACCCAGGGCCTGTCAGGGAAGGAGACCCCAAGCCAAAGAACATCCCAAGTGGCAAAGAGGGGTGGCCTTGTACACAGCACAGCCCTCACGGTGCTGTTCCCGGCCTAAGGGCTGACAGGTCCGTCTGAGAGAGGAGCCATTGGATGCCCCTCCTGAGAACCCTCCCCCACCCACCCAGACCCTCCCAGACACTGTCTGGTCAAGGACATGGAGGTCCCAGGCCTCTGCAAGAAAGTCCCTGTCTGCTTTCGTCTACTCCAGGGAGAAGACAGGTCCCGCAGGGCCCCTTGCAGCCCCAAGCAAGCTGCGTGGCCACGGGGCACACGTCCTGGGGTGGGGCTGCGGGAAGCCCGCTGGACGGACCCCTGAGTGTCCTCCTGGCCGGGCAGTATTCTCAAGCCCCTGACTTGCGGCTCCTGCCTTGGCAGTGCAGTGGCGGGTCTCTCTTGGGCTCCGGTGAGCCCGGCTGCCGTGGTCGGCTGCTTGGGCGCTGACCTGGGGCACTGTCTCCAGTGTTTCACACTACTTGGATCTGTGGGCCACCAGTGTCCACATGTGGTGCGCTCACGCAACTCTGATTAGCTCCTGCCAGGGCCCATCCCCTACCCACTCCAGATCTCAAATCTGCCTTCCTGGCGCCACTCCCACTCGCTTTTTGGCAAGGAATGGGGTTCCTTTAGTTTCGGCTTCATTTGCCAGAGACTCTACACCAGCCAGCCTGGCTTCTGTTGTCGGTGCCACTCACACACACACCCCTCTCCTGATGTGGAAGAACCAGTGCCACATCTCAGTCCCAGGACCTCCCCCCATCCAGGCCGCATCTGAGTGTACACACACACGCACACACATCTGAGGCTGTGTGCACACACACACCCCATCACCACCACCACCACCACCACCAGCAGCCTGCCCCATGGATTTGAGGTGGGCCTGCTGTCCTGAGGGATGCCTTATACCTCAGAAGCCCTGTTCCCTGGGACTTTGCCTCTGGGTCCCCACCCCTATGGTCTCTCCTGTTAAAGCTCCGTGCCCTCTGCCCCCAGCAGTGCTCAGAGCCTTTCAGCCTCAGCTGCTCTGGCGGGGCACAGCCTGTGTCAGGCCAGCCACCGGCTCCGTGTCCTGAACCTGCTGGCAGGTGCGCAGCCATGGAGGGGCTGGCTGTGCTGGCCTCTGCTCCTTGGAGACTTTCTTCCATGGCAGGCTCCTGTCAGCCCCCAGTGGTCAGAGGCCGTCTCTGAGCTCCAGCGTGTCAGGGCCTGAGCCTCTGCCTCCGGGCCTGTGTGGACTCCAACTCAGCGTTTCTCAGCCTCCACTTTGCGCTAACTCAGTTATGGGGGCTGTCCTGTGCGTCAGAGGGTGTTCAGTAGCAGCCTCCCTGGCCCGGTTGATGCCAGTGGTCCTCCCTGCTCATCCACCCTTGGAAACCAGAACGTCTGCAGACCCTGCCTCAGTCACCGGGGGTCTTGCCCCCTTGAGAGCCACTCCTTCCTGTGTGTGTGCGCGAGTCCTGACTTGGCTACAGTGTCTGCCTCACCTCTGCCCCCAGTTCCCAGGGCTGCCACCGCCTCTCCCTGCCCCAGTGGCTGCTGCATCCAGTGGGACAGTGTGTTAAGGTGCCCAGTGCGGCACCAGGTACCCAGGAAGCCCTGGGTCACCAGTAGCCACTGCAGCTGTCGGGGCAGCGCTGCAGGAGACACGTCGTGCAGTTCCATCCAACTTTGTTCACAGTTGCCCGCGGCTCCGCCCACAGTCCAGCAGGCCCAGGCATGCTGGGTGGACCAGCCTCTCTCCATCACCATCTGACTCCCTCCCCAGTGACTCATTCTCTCCTTCCATCCACAGCGTCTCTCTCTTTCTCTGCACACAGCTGCCAGGGCCAGGGAGCCTGGCCTACCTGTACCAGGGCACCAGCCTTCCTCTGTTCTCTGCAGGGAGCTGACACTCTGGGCCACAGCTGACTCCAAAGGGAGTGACGCCCCCTGCTTTTCTCCCCACAGGCACCCAGACACACCCCTCACACCGGGGCTGTGCGGCACAGGCTTCCTCAAGATGCCGGGGGTCTAATGGCTCATGTGCCCTGGTGGGTTTGTGGGCTGGGTGGGCGCTGACCCCAGAGCCCAGTTCACCGGGTCTGTCTGAGCCGTGGGGTGCGTGTGAGGCACGGGGGCCTGTCTGTGCCCCACCTCCACCCCTCGCGGTTCGCCCCTGGCACCTGCTGGCGGGCCCCAGCCCTGTCCGCCGTGTCCTCCATGAGTCCTGAGTCTTCTGTGAGCGGTGTGGTCCGTGTGCGCCTGCGTGCACGTGCACGTGTGCGAGGGGGCACTGGAGTCTCGTCTCGTCTCCGTGCTGTGTGGGCAGATGAAGGTGGCCTGTTTTTACTCTCTCTGTGTTTCTCCTTGTCTTTTTTTTATTCCCTCCTCATCCTCATCGCACTCTGCCATCAACCCAAACTCTCATCTCTCAGATCAGCGAGAAGGTTGGTCCTTTTCACTTCTTATCCATCTACAGCCCGCCGCCCGCTGACCAGGTGGCCCATCAGTAGGGACCAGCGGGCTCGGTCAGCTCCCTCAGGCCCATCCAGCCATGCCTGCCCCCACCAGTGGGCCTCTGCTCCTCGCTGTTTGGGCCGGCAGGCAGGCAGGACCAGGGGCGGGTGGGCATACCCCTGCCCTGCATGTCTGCTGCTTGGAGCCCCGAGATGCCTGTGTCTGCATGTCCCCTTAGCCGGGCTCCTCTGCTGGGGTGGGCGGGCAGACATAGTGCATGGCACGAGACTGCACCCTTCCCTTCTGCCCAGGCCAGGCCGGCTGTCCCCTCCAGATGGAAGTCAGGAGTGGCTGGGGGAAGTGTGGTCAGGGGAAAGTGCGAAAGCTGGAGCTCTGGATGCCCAGGGTGCTCCCACGGCCTCCACTCATCCTGAGGCTGCAGATGTCCAAGTGTAGCCAGAGATCCTGAGGAGATGCAGGGCAGAGGCCACTCCCCAGTGGACTGTCCCCTCCAGGTCCTGCCAGCACCAGGCAGAGTGCCTCTGCCCCACCCTCGGGGCCTTCCCTCAGTGGGGAGCAGCCCTGGGCTGCCTCAAGGGTGTGGTGTCCATGATCAGGAGAGGCACGGTCTTGGTCTCACTCGCTCACTGAGCAAGTCTCCCCTGCTGTTGTCTTTTCTCTCCCCTGCCAGATCCAAATTAAGATCCTCCCACCTGCCCCAGGCCCCTCTCCCTGAGCAGCCCAGCCCACTGTGGTTCTGGGAGAGTGATTGTCCATCAGCTGGGTGCTGGGCACTCAGACCCGACCTGCCCGTGCCTGGAGTGGCTAAACGGTCAACCGCGGCTCAGCCAGGCCCCCTGGGGGCTGCGCAGGAGCAGCCCCTGGCTTGGCCACCAGTGGAAAGATTCTAGAGACGGCCTTGTTCCCATTCCAGGGTAGTCTCATTGGGGGCTTGGTTTATGACTCCACCCTAGGGGCCAGACTCCCCTGCTACACCCAGTGCTGGGGTTGGCATTAGGGGCTGGTGGTCATTCATGTGTCACACGGTGTGAGGGGCAGAGGATGCTCACCCAGGTCCCGGGCAGAAGTTTAGGACAGGCTGAGCCACCTGGAAGCAAGACTCCACCACCTGGCCCCCTCAGCGGCAGCATCCCAGCTCGAGTTTCCTCCGTGAAGGAGAAGGGGCCGGGGCGAGGAGGGCTGCAGCCTGAGCTCAGGTGGCAGCCCCGAGCCGCCATCCACGCACGCTCCTGACTCTGGGCCATTTCCATTATACCATTCCGCTGACCATGCGGATCTGCTAGGGCGCTCGGAACACAGTCAGCAGAGCCTGCTCGGCCCGCAGCGCTGCCCCCACCCTCTTAGCCCCTGTCCCCTCCCTCCCCCCAACCCGCACCCCACCCTATGGTCCCACCAAAAATAAGCACATATACAAATATTTAACAGGAAGGCAGAAATGAGTTTCTAAATATTCCGGGGGGATTTGCCAGGCTGGTAATTTGTTTGGCGCTGATAATTGCATCTTACATTTTTCTAGCTTTACTTAAAACTGTGTGCCGGGTGCGCCGGCATTTAATTACCGCTCTGCGGCAGCCACAAGGTTATTTATTAAAGAGTTATTTTATCTTGATACAGTGGATCCTGCCCCTTATCCCCTCCCTAATGTTGTGTTATTTTCATCCGAGAAATTTCCACGAGTGAATGCAGATTGCGGGGCCACCTCCCCCCCGCGATTAGGCTGTCACTCCACCGAACGTCGGTCGGTGCCTCTGGGCGCCGCTCCGCCCTATCACAGGGGGTTGTCAGCGCAAATAATTAGGCTCAGAAGTTGCAGCTGAAATATAATCCAGAAATGGCAGGGCCCTGTTTGGGAAATTGTCTATAAAATGTCAGTGCTGGGATGCACGGGGAACCGTGATAGGCTGGGCTCGACAGAGCCCGAAACCAGACCCTGAGTGCATTTTCCCCAGCTCTGGTTTCTCACTTCCCTGCTGCTGCTTCTGCCAAATAGCTTGAGTCCAGGGAGAGCCCCGCACTATCTGGAGGCCTCACGCCCGTGACAGTGGGCGGGCCACCACGGGGCTGCCGGAGGGAGCTCCTCACTGTTGGTGTGGAGTGGCTGTCCAGGCAGGCCCAGGATCCCTGGAGAGTAGACGCTTTTCTTTGTGGGTGCACTAAGCTCCCTCGGCCCACGGGGACGACGGATCCAGTTGGCAGGAAACCGTGCTCCAGGATTCCTGGCGTGCAGCAGAGGCCCGAGTCCTGGGAGTGCAGGTGTGCAGGACGAGCCTGGGAGCCACATTTCCTGGCAGTGGCTGGAGTTGCAGGCCTTGGCAGGGGTGTCCCAGGGGGTTGGCACAACCTTCAGGGCCCGTGGCGAGGTGTGCATCCTGTCCTCCAGGGACTGCTTTGGGGTAGGGCCCAGTCAGGTTTCTGGGGCCCAAGGCTTATTGACTACAGACCTGATCTCTTCGGCTGGGCTCTTGATTGTGGCACCCAGGGACTTGATCAGGCCCCAGGATTGTACCACTGATTTGGGTCAAGGTTGCAGCCATGAACTCTCTGCTGGCACAGGCCCTGGAATTCCCATCTGTGTGCCAACTTGAGCATCACCTTCCGCCAGCCTTGGCTGACCCCACAGCTTCTCCCCGGAGCCTCCTTTTCTGGTCTCTCTTTTCAGCCCTGTCAGGGATCAAAGGGGTGTGAGTTTTGCATCACACAGGCCCACCGCTACCGTGTGTGTAGACACGGGCATGGCACAAGTCAGTCTTCAGTCAGTTCCCTTGCCTGTCACTGGCAGGTGGTAGCATCCACGGCCTGGTGGCCTCCCGCACTTAGTGGGTGCTCAGTTGCGGTTTCCATTCCCCAAACCCATACTGATACCTGTGAGGGAAGAGGAGGGCAGCCTCTGGCTGGGAGGACAGAGACTTGGTGAGTGAGCTAAGGCTGCTGTTCCCTTCCCTGGCAGGCCCAGGCATGGAAAGGAGGCCAGGGCACACGGACCTGCCAACCAGGCCCGGGTCTGGGGCCCAGGCTGTACCCACAAGCACCATACTGGTGACAGTTCCACCTGCCTCCTGGCTTCACCTCGTGCCAAGTGGGTGGAAGCCTCAGAGGGGCCGCTGTTGCCATGGGGCAGTTGCCAGCTGTGCCCCCAGGTTCCCCCTGTTCTCTGCCAGGGAACTATGTATCTGTGCCATGCTGTCTTCAGTGTGGGTCCTGGCACGAGGACAGATGACAGAAAGCTACTTGCTCCAGCATGAGCAAAGCAAGGAGATTCTTGGGTTAGAAACGCAGGTTGGGCAGGGCGGCGTCTGGGTGTGTTATCGGTTGGGTCAGGCATTTGTCTGTCTTTGTCTCAGCTCTGCTCTCCTCTGGGGGCTGCTCCATCCCCAGGGTTCTCCTGTGTGTTGCAACGGTGGTCCCTGGCCTCTTTGAGCTTAGCTACTCCCTTAGGGAGAGAGTGACCTCCCGGGAGTTTTTGTGAAAGACTAAAAGCTGTTTCTCGTTAGCCAGACCTGGGTCACTCACCCCACGTACCCAAGACTTGGGGGATAAGGGGACTCTTAAGGTGAAACCTCTAAAGAAAGCCAGCATTCAAGCTGGGCAAATGCAGAATTCTGGGTGTCTGTGACAGCCTGGGGATGCAGGGCCAGCCTATGAACCCCCGGGGACTCCCTGGCAAGGCTTTGCTTCTGTCTGGAGGACCCTGAGCAGGCAGGCTGTGGAAGGAATCACACCCAGGGCCAGGAACTGTGGGGAAGCCATGCAGGGGTTGAGCGGGGGTGGAGCCAGCAGCCTGCTGCTTGTAGAAGGCCAGTTCATGGGGCTGGGGGAGACAGCAAGGTGGGACCACCCATGAAGAACCCAGTGCAGCAACCCCGGGAGGTGGGGGCTGCCCATGGGTTTGAAAAATGTTTGAGGTGGCAGCACCGACAGGACCTGGTGGCCTGCTGCAGGTCTGCACTCCGAGCCTGTTTTGGCCCGTCTGTGCAGTGAGGTCACAAGTCCAACCTTGTGGTCTCTGCTGTTGACTCCGACTCTGATTCTGTGATCTGGGGCTGTGGAAGGAGCTTCTGATGTGGTGCCACAGGTCCTTTGCATGCCTGGCGTCCCTGGCATGGGTCCTCCGAAAACAGTGCTCCCAGGAGTGCCCTGGGGCTGCTTGGTCTTCGCCACCTGTCTTCTCTGGATGTCAGGGTACCCGTGCAGGACACACCCTAGCCTCTGCCCACCAGCTGCATGCCCCAACTGCATGCCACGCATGCCTGCCTGTGGCCAGGTCGTGCCTGCTGTCCCTTCCTGTGCATGCTCCAGATGTCTGTGCCAAGCTTGCATCTTTGGGGGGTCGCGGTTCCAGGCTGTACCCTGGGCTGAGAAGCTCAGAACAGCTTCTGGTCAGGGGAAGTCCAAGGCTGGAGGGTGGTGGCCAGGAACAGCCGCCCTCCTCCTTGAGACCCTTGTTCATCGGCGCAGAAAACCGTCTGTTCAGCGCCCTCATCATGTTACCGCCATCGTCATGCCCATCCTGCCCGTGGACCACGTCCCTGGCTGCCCCGACCCCTTGCCTCAGCCCAGCCCGCCCGAGAGACAGGCCTTGACACTTAGGCTGTGCCTTGTGCACACCCAAGGCCCTGGCAGGTGGCCACACCGCTTGCCTCTTCCCTGCCTCTCTGCCCACGGCCTGGAGGTGGAGGCGGAGGCAGCTTCTCCAGAGAAGGTGGCCGTGTCGCTCCCAGACTGAGCCCCTGCCCTGCCCCAGCCGTGCTCTGAGGTCCCTCATGCCAGGGCCTGGCTCCGTCCCTGCTGCCCTGGCTAGTGTTCCTCTGAGGTGCATGGGAGGTGTGTCAGGAGCACACAGGGGTGGGCACTAGAGGACAACCTGGATTGTGGCCCTGACCAGGCCTAGACCTCGTGCTGAGTTCCTGTGTGGCCCTGGGCAGACAGGACTATTCTGGGCTTCAGTTTCCCAGGCTGTAAAATGGGAACTTGGTCGCGAGAGCGCTTGCTGAGTAAGACGTGCTCCAGATGGTCCCTGAGGGCGGGGCGACTCCTAGAGGGAGAGCGGGCTGGGAGGTGGGGAGCCGGGTCGGGGACGCCACCCCTCCTGCCTCTGATGTGGGTTTGGCTCTGGATGAGGGGCCCCTGCCCTTGCATCCGCCCTCGTGCCCTGCACGGCCCGTGAGTGCCTCTCTCCCTCCTCCCACAGTGCGGCGCGTGGCTCCTCGTTTCTCCATCCCTCCCAGCAACCAGGAGGTGATGCCAGGTGGCAACGTGAACCTGACGTGTGTCGCCGTGGGCGCGCCCATGCCCTACGTGAAGTGGATGATGGGGGCCGAGGAGCTCACCAAGGAGGACGAGATGCCCGTCGGCCGCAATGTGCTGGAGCTCAGCGGGGTCACGCGCTCAGCCAACTACACCTGTGTGGCCATCTCCTCGCTGGGCATGATTGAGGCCACAGCCCAGGTCACCGTGAAAGGTGAGTGTGACAGGTGCCTGGTGCCAGCGGCCTGGCAGGCAAGCGTGAGTTGGGTGCTGTGCACACAGGCAGCCTGAGGACTCGGCCTCTCCTGGGCACCCAGCTTGGACTGCCCCCGGCCCCTGTCTTGTTGGTGGCAGCCTTAACGAGAGCCGCTAACCTGTGTTGAGTTCTTGGTGGCAGGCGTCATGTCGCCATGGTTTGTTCTGCTTAGTCCCTGTGCTACCTGGGAATGAGAGGCTCTTAATGTTGTCATCTTACAAATGCAGGAAACAAGGCACAGAGAGGCGGCATCGTTGCCTGGGGGTCACAGGCCAGACACTTGAACCCTGGGTGATCTGAATCCCTGCCCTGCTAACCACTCCATACAAGTACTTCAGAAAGTTAGTGGAAATGGAATTAGAAGACTGTTATGGTACAAAAAATTTTGAAATTGCATTTTTTCACAATATGCATCTTCCGTGCACTTGCTGATAACCCCCTCATAGTCCCAGACCCTTGGGTTATTGTTTTTGAAGAAAATTATGAGTACATCTTTAAAATGTTTGTTTATTAGAGACAAAGCTTATTTATTAGAGAGAAAGCTCCCCAAATGTCTTCAACAACTAGGGATGGACCAGGCCAAAGCCAGGAGCTGGGAATTCACACTAGGTCTCCCATGTCGGGGAGCAGGAAGCCAGTTACTTGAGCCATCACTGCTGCCTCCCAGGGTCTGCAACAGCAGGAAGCGATAGTCGGGATCTGGAGTTGGGAATCAAACCTAGACACTCACATATGGGACATAGGCATCTTTAAACCAAAAAAAAAGAAAGGCAGAGTTACGGAGAAAGAGATCTACCCTCTGGTTCACGTCCCAAATGGCTACAATGGCTGGGGCTGGGCCAGGCTGAAGCCAGGAGCTTCCTCTGGGTCTTTCACATGGATTCAGGGGCCCAAGGTCTTGGGCCTTCCTCTGCTGCTTCTCTGGGTGCAATAGCAGGAAGCTGGGTTGGAAGTGGAGCAGCCAGGACTCGAACTGGCACCCTTATGGGATGCCGGCATGCAGGTGGTGGCTTTACCCGTTATGCCATGCCTTCCCTTCCCCTTCCCCTCTAAAAAGAATGATTGATTGATTTGAGAAGGAGAAACAGGAAAAGAGAGATCTTCCATCCGCTGGTTTACTCCCTAAATGGGGACATTATCCTGTGGCCCAAGGCAGGAGCCAGGAACTCCATCTGGGTCTCCCATGTGGGTGCTAGGAGCCCAAGCATTTGGGCCATCTTCTGCCACTTTCCCAGGCACATTAGCAGGGAGCTGAGTCTGAAGTAGAGCAGCTAAGACTCGCCTGGTCTGCCAGCATCACAGGCAGCCGCTTAAACACTGCCACAATGCTGACCCCAGGAGATGTGGGTATCTCAACTGGCATTTTTACTGCTGGGCCAAATGTCCACCCCACACCTTCAGGTTTTGCTGCCTCCAAGCCAGAAGAATGTGGGAAAATAGCAGCCATAGGAGAAGCAGGTTCTCCTAGGGCTCTGGGGACAGCCACACAGATGTGATAGGGGAGTAGCACACCTGCACAGGGTCCTTCCTGGGCTCTCTGCCTCCGTGCTGCAGCTTAGGTGACCTTTGTAAAAACGAGTAAACCCAGATCAAGTGACTCCCTCTTAAAGGCAGAAATACCTTCAGTGGCTCCCAGTGCTCCAAGGACATGGCGGGGCCCTCGTTGTGGTCTCCAGGCCACTGGCATCCTGCCCGCAGTGCACACAGGCGCTCAGACACACTATGCTCTTCTGTCCCTCCCCCCTTGCCCAGCCCTTCCCGTCCTTGGCTCCATCTCCCCCTCCGGGTCTCAGCTCTGTGATGCTTTCTCTCCCTGGTCGTCTCATCCCAGGAGTCCTTGGATCTTTCTGGATCGCAGTCCTTGCAGGCATCAGAGTCATTGTTACTGACTCACTTTCTGTGTCTCGCTGGAGCATGAACTCCCTGGGAGCAGCAGTGTGACGTGTGGCTCTGTGGCCTCAGCCCCAGCCCAGTGCCTGGCACTGAGCAGACACTTAGTGCTCATCCGTGGAATGATTGTGGACCTGGGTCTTTACCTCCTTAAACTTGAGCCGAGCAGCAGGTGCCCCGTCACTCCTCCTAAACTCCGGGGCAAGTCCATAGGCGCTGTCTCACCTCCCACCACCCTGCACACACTCTCCACTGGGTGGACATGGACCGGCTCAGGTGCAGATCTCTGCTGCCCAGCCTGGGTGCTTTCTGCCCACCAAGGCCACGTCACCTCCCAGTCTGTGTGTTAGGTGGCTCATGTGGGCTGATGGGAGGATCCAGTGAGCCCCAGAAGTGACCTGTGTACCTGCCCCTGAGGGCACTGACCAGCCTGGCCACTGTCCCCCACTCAGCCCTCAGAGGCCGCTCTTGAGGGTGGGCTGTGGGTCATATTCTGTGGGGCGCATGAGGTACTGGGATGATCCCCAAGAGTTGGGGTGGCCCCTGGGGTCTTGACCTCAGGCAGTCCTGAGCCTTGCACTTTGTCCTCAGCTTTGCCAAAGCCGCCGGTCGATGTCGTGGTGACAGAGACGACTGCCACCAGCGTCACCCTGACCTGGGACTCCGGGAACTCAGAGCCCGTGTCCTACTACGGCATCCAGTACCGTGCGACAGGCACCGAGGGCCCCTTCCAGGAGGTGGATGGTGTGGCCACCACGCGCTACAGCATCGGCGGCCTCAGCCCGTTCTCAGAGTACGCCTTCCGCGTGCTGGCCGTGAACAGCATTGGGCGAGGGCCTCCCAGCGAGGCCGTGCGGGCGCGCACAGGCGAACAGGCGCCCTCCAGCCCGCCGCGCCGCGTGCAGGCCCGCATGCTGAGCGCCAGCACCATGCTAGTGCAGTGGGAACCACCTGAGGAGCCCAACGGCCTGGTGCGGGGCTACCGCGTCTACTACACTCCCGACTCCCGCCGGCCCCTGAGTGCCTGGCACAAGCACAACACCGACGCAGGCCTCCTCACCACCGTGGGCAGCCTGCTGCCCGGCATCACCTACAGCCTGCGCGTGCTCGCCTTCACCGCCGTGGGCGACGGCCCGCCCAGCCCCACCATCCAGGTCAAGACGCAGCAGGGAGGTAGGTAGGGGCGTGAGTGCTAAGCGCCGGCCGGACAGGCTGAGAGTGGGGAGCTCCGGGGAGGACGTGGGTGCTGGTTTCCTGGGAGGCAGGGTGAGGGTCTGCAGCTTCTTGTTCCCGGGGCTCTGCAAGGCTGACGCCTGTTGGGGGGTATTGCAGTGCCTGCACAGCCTGCGGACTTCCAGGCTGAGGCTGAGTCCGACACCAGGATCCAGCTGTCGTGGCTGCTGCCCCCGCAGGAGCGGATTGTCAAGTACGAGCTGGTGTATTGGGCCGCCGAGGACGAAGGCCAGCAGGTGAGCCGGAGCTGGGGAAAGGGCGGGAGGAGCACCTCCTGGGCCCTGAGCACCCACGCATGCCGGGCTCACCTGGGCAGCTCTCTGGGGCTCTGTGGTGAGGCTGTGAGCAGGGGCGAAGCTCTGAGGGCCCCCACCCTCTGTGGAGGGAGCTCTGTGGCTCCCGTGACAATGGCAGGTGCCCACAAGTTCCCCTGGGGCCATCTGTCCTTGGTGGGTCCTGTGGCCTGTGTGTTACGGACTTGGCTGTAAATAGCCTGTGGAGTCCCCGTGGCCTTGTGCCACAGAGCTAGCCTTGGGACCCGGGCAGTGGTGGGGGTGACGTCTGAGGTCAGAGTGGTCAGTGCATGCTTCCTACTCTTTCAGCACAAGGTGACCTTCGACCCCACCTCCTCCTACACCCTAGAGGACCTGAAACCTGACACACTGTATCGCTTCCAGCTGGCTGCCCGCTCCGATTTGGGGGTGGGCGTCTTCACCCCCACTATTGAGGCCCGCACAGCACAGTCCAGTAAGTGTCTCCAGGGGCCGCTGTCTGTCACTCCTGGACTGGGATACACACACACATGCACACACACTCAGCCAGGTGGGTGGTCGGGTCTGCTGGGCCCTGCCCTGGACTCTGATCTAGACTGTGGGTCTGGACCCTAGGAGAGGGACAGGTAAGTGCCCCAGTGTGTCCAGGTGGCTGCTGCCCCTCCCTGCTCCCTGCCCAGACTCCTGCCTGACCCCCATGCCCTCCCACACCCTGCCCAGGTAAGTTCTATGTCCGTGACTCATCTCCGCCCTCCACGGCCCTCCCAGTGGCCAGGCCGTCCTCAGTGCTGGGTCTGCCACGTCCCAAACCCGCTTCAGTGGCTCTCTTCCCTCCCCGTGTCCCACATCATGTTTCACCATCACCCCCTTTTCTCGTCCCCCACCATGAGAACCACGTGTGAGCCGCAGGGCCGACTGCAGGCGGGCAGGTCCGTGAGAATGTGACGCGGTGGCAGTGTGCCCACGTGCCTTTGTGTGGGACCACGTGGCCAGGGGCCTGTGTGCAGTGCTGTTTGTGTGACAGCTGGGTGGCTCTGTGTGTTGCTCTATGCTGCCATGTGTGAGACTGATGCTGTGGCTATGTGCTCGTGACCGTGCCAGACTCCCGGCCGTGTGACAGCTATGCATGTGTGTTGGGGGGTCCCTGGCGTGCCCATGTCTCTGAATGACTCTGGTCTCTGCCTGTGACCATGTCTGTGGGCCCCTGTAGCTCGCCAAGTGACAGAGCAAGAGTGTGTGTGACTACAGTGCCACTGGACAGCCTCTCTGATCCTGATCAGACAGCTGCAGCAGGCCCCTATGACGCTCTGGGCGACAGCAGGGCCAGGCTGTGGCTGGGTGGTGTCACAGGACTGAGACTATGATGCCCTGTGCTGACCGTACCCGTGGCAGGGTCTGTGAGGTCTGTGTGACGTGGGACTGTGTATGTAGGGACTGATTCTGCTCAGAGGCTGGCTACCTGTGACCTCCTGCTAAAGGACCCCTTCTGGAAGTACCTGCTGGGGGCCAGGCCGTCCGCCCTGACCGCAGGGGTCCTGCGTTCAAGTGGGGCAGACAAACGTTACACCTGCAGTTGCCCGGATGAGCCTCAGTTACCTGTGTGTGAAGAGGGGCGGCAGAGATGAGCAGGGTGGAATGGCAATGTGACGGTACTATGGTCTAGCCCGAGATGGCTGCCTGGAGAGGGCGCACATCTTCCGGGGCAAGCAGGGACAGAGGGCTCAGGCGGAGGGTCTGCAGGTTCTACAGCCCCGAAGTTGGCGTGGGGTCTTGGCCAGAGGGTGAGCAGTGTGGCCGGAGCAGCCTCTGGACCCGTGGCAGTTGAGACCTGGCTGGCTGGGCTGCTGTGTGAGGCATTCAGAGAAGAGAGTGGAGACTGGATAGGAGGCTTTGCAGTGGTCTAGGCAAGAGGCGGTGGGTCTGAACTGGGGACGCTGGCTGATCAGGACGTGGGGGTAGGGTGAGAGTAGGGGCCTGAGGGAGAGGAATGTGTAGGTGACGCTTGTCTGGTTAGGTTTGGAAGGAGGCTGGTGCCAATTAGGATAGGAGATGGGACAGGAGCAGGTGCCAAGAGTGAACCTGGTCTCAGACGCCCAAATTCAAAATCCGAGTGCCAAGCAAGTAGTGATGGTTGGCAGGCTGGGGGAATCCCGGGCCTGGCCGGGCAGTGGATGACCCTGAGCAGAAGGAATGGAGGCGGGGCTGTGTCTCGGAGGTTGGGAGAAGAGAAAGTTTCAGGAAGTAGAACAGACCCTGTGGGAGTGGGCTGGAGCAGAGGAACACAGTCTAGCAGGGTGGAGGGGCAGATCTGCATCAGCATCGTGGAGGTGTCTGCAGCCCACGGAGTTTCACGAGGCCTGTGGGGAGCTTAAGAAGGAGACCGCAAGCTCAGAGCTCAGAAGTATACCTGTCACTGGAGGGGACCCTGGGGCTGAGATGGGATTTTTTTTTAATATGTATGTATGTATTTATTTATTTGAAAGGCCAAGTTAAAGAGAGGCACAGAGAGAGAGAGAGTCCAAAGCCAGGAGCCAGGAGCTTCTTCCCAGTCTCCCACATTGGTTCAGGGGCCAAAGGATTTAGGCCATCTTCTGCTGCTTTCCCAGGCGCATTAGCAGGGAGCTGGATCAGAAGTGGACCAGCTGGGACTCAGACCGGCATCCATATGGGGTGCTGGCCCCCGTGGGATCTTTTAAGACGGAATAGTTTAAGGGTATTTCAGTGCCATTTGGAAGCCACAGGAAAGAGGATAAATAGTGGAGCTTCCAGCAGCGGAGCTCAGGCAGCGGGCAGATCCGCCTCCGACAGGGTGGTTCTCTGTCCTGTGGGCAGAGGGATCCGGTGCTGCTGCAGTGAGGTTGGCAGGTGTGACAGCAGGAAGCCACGTGTGCCTCTGCAGGCAGGCTGTGTCCCTCCACAAAGTGGGTGATGGGGTCCTGCCGGCAGAGGGAGCTGAGGTTTGGGAGGGCCTAGGGAGGTTCGTGTCTTCTGTGCTAAGCGGCAGAGTGCTGGGCACAGAATAGGCAGGCAGCAGAGGGCCCCGGGAGATCACTGGGGAGGTGTCCCAGAAGGGCAGCGTGCAGAGGAGGCCACTTGTTGATGTCCACCCCAGTGCCACTGGAGAAAGCAGAGGGTTCTTTCAGGCTGGGTGCAGGGTAGCCAGGCAGGCAACAGGAGGGTCAGGGAGTGAGGGAGTTTTAGATATTGGTGAGAGTGAGAGCAGGTAGACCTTGGAGTGAAAGCTGACTATGGAGGGTAGTCAGGATGAGGGTGGATGGGTGGAGCCCCGAGGGGCTGACAAGCAGGTGCAGTGCTGGGGCCTTGAGCAGCTGGGCTGGGAGAAGAGGCAGGAGGCCACAGGTAAGGCCATGCCCAGGGTGTGACCACAGCTATGCAGAAGAGGAGAAAGCCTGGTGAGTCAAGGTGGCTGCCACCATCCCTGGGCAGGGGTGGTGGCAGGACTGGGATGGAGAAGCAGCCCCCTGCCTTGGTAGCAGCGTCTTTGGTGGCATAGATTCTAGGAGTGTTGCTGGGCACAAGAAAGGCTCTCACCTGCCTCCTAACCCCCAGGGACCTGCTAGACGTGAGCCAGGAGCTCTTGGCTGCCTCTGTCACTCTGGCCTCCCGTCTGGTTACCCATGGCTCAGGCACAGGTCAGGGCAGCCTCACACCAACAGAGTCCCCGGGCCACCTTGTCCTCAGAACAGAAGAGCCCAGGGCACAGCAGGTGCAGAGCCGTTCTCCACATGTGGTCATGCGCGTGTATCTGACAGCGTGTATGTTTTGTGCGAGACGGCATATGTGTGGGAGAGACGCTGTGTTAGAATTCCATATGTGTGTGAGAGAGACTGTGTGCGTGGGAGGGACAGGGAGGGAGGGAGAGAGGGAGGAGCAGCCAGCAGTTCAGAGACAGCAGGCCGCGTCGGCGACAGTGGCGGCAGCCTGGCCAGAGGCCCCCTGGGATGGCCATGTCAGCACTAAGGGTGGCCTGCCTGGGTGAGTCTCCCATCCACTGTGGCTCAGTCGCCGTGCCTGCGACCCCCACCCTCCATCTGCCTGCTTCCCTCCATTTGTCTTCCCCAGCCCCCTCCGCCCCTCCCCAGAAGGTGACGTGCGTGAGTGCGGGCTCCACCACGGTCCGGGTAAGTTGGGTTCCACCACCGGCTGACAGCCGCAACGGCATCATCACCCAGTACTCCGTGGCCTACGAGGCGGTGGACGGCGAGGACCGCGGGCGTCATGTGGTGGACGGCATCGGGCACGAGCGCTCCAGCTGGGACCTGGTGGGCCTGGAGAAGTGGACGGAGTATCGGGTGTGGGTGCGGGCACACACAGACGTGGGCCCTGGCCCCGAGAGCAGCCCGGTGCTGGTGCGCACCGACGAGGACGGTAGGCGGCCGTGCTGGGAGGGGTGGGCAGGGAAGACCCGCTGCCCCAGATGCCACCCACTGGTACCCGGGGCTTCTGCCTGCCCCTCCACCAGCCCAGGCCTAATGGAGCTGGAGCTGATGTGCCACGTGGACCTAAACATCAGGGTAGCAAAGCCTCAAAAGGCTGCAGGGGAAGCACCGACTGACAGCCTGTGTGCTGAGTTTGGGGTGGTCGAAGGCCTGGGTGCCTCCACCCATCCCCTGTACCTCCCTGTGTCTGCCCTGCCAGAGGGCTACTCCTGGGCTCTAAGCCACAGTGGCCAGAGGAAACCCTCATGCTCCTTGCCAGGATGGACGGGCTAAAGGAGCTACCTGGGGAGTAGGGTGCAGAGGCCAGGCCCTGGAGAGTGCTGAGCCCACCCGAGCCGGGATCCATAGCACCAGGCCTGACTGCCTTCCTTCCTTCTCCACCTGCCCCCAGTGCCCAGTGGGCCACCACGGAAGGTGGAGGTGGAGCCGCTGAATTCCACTGCTGTGCACGTCTCCTGGAAGCTGCCTGTCCCCAGCAAGCAGCACGGCCAGATCCGCGGCTACCAGGTCACCTACGTGCGGCTGGAGAATGGCGAGCCCCGGGGCCCGCCCGTCATCCAGGACGTCATGCTGGCTGAGGCCCAGGTGTGCCATCGGGGGTGGGGGGAGTGGAAAGCAGAGAGCAGCCTGCGTTGCTTTCTCTGTGGGACCCAGAGTAGCTGCACGCCCACCCCGCTCTGTGTGTGTTCTCAGAGGTGCTGTGACCACCTTTGCTTGCTAAGAGTACGGCGATGCCTTGCTGCGTCCTGGGTGGGAGGCCCTGAGATCAGGAGGTGAGGGCCAGGTTCCAGGCCGCTCCCTCCTCTGTCTTGCATCTGTGCCAGCCCCATCTACCCTGATATTAACGGTCCCAGCCTGGTAAAGTGTCTGTGGCTCAACCACCGGCACTCACAGACCCCAGCCTCAGCCTTCCTGATACGGAGACAGCATACTCACTCGGCCTTGGGGCTGTGCCCACCGTCCTCCCAGACAGCGCTGGAGCACTGGGCTCCACTGCTGTGCCCTCCGCAGCAGGAGGCAGGGAGGGGCTCCTTGGCGCTTACCCCCACCCCGGCCCCAGGCCTTGGGCCAGTGGTTGTTGCAGAGCTCACTGGTGTTGCTCTGCTGCTGGCCCCGGGTGGTTGGCCGGGCCGATGTTTGCTTTCTGGGGCTCTGCTCCGTCTTCCTGGGGCTGATGGTTCTGCCTGTGAGTGCGGGGTGAGGTCCCTGGGGGAAGTCTGAGCTCCAGATACCCTGTTCAGATGAGGAACCTGGAGCTTTGGGAGGTTCAGTGAGTGGCAGAATTACCTAGCACGTGGGCAGCTGAGCTTAGATAGGAAGCCAAGTCTCTGGACCTGGGAAGGGGCCACGGCTGTCATGAGAGCCCCCTCCCGATTGACTGCGGAAGACCCTGCTGGTCCTCGGGACCCGGCACTGAGCGGCCCAGGGGGTGGAGCCTGGCCCTTGCCAGTGCCCTGCGTTCTCACCCACGCAGCACAAGCCTTCCTGCCTCCCCAGGCTCAGCCTTCTGAAGAGGAATTCCTTTCTGCCAGAGGATGCCCTCTTCCCCTGCCCGGTGCTGAGGGTCCAGGGCTGGAGGAGGTGGGCGGGTGTGTCCTGCATTCCTGGGCCAGGTCCGGGGCTCCTCTGCAGACACACCCACCCAGAAATATCCCAGGAATGGGCTCCTTCCCAGCCCTCCCGTCCACAGCCCAGAGACACCACGTGGGGTGCCCCCTTCTGGTCCCAGCTGGTTTGGAAGGGAGTCAGGCCAAAGGATCAGGGGCTCTGTCCCCTTAGCTGCAGAGATCCACGGGGACAACTGAGGATGGAGGCCCTGCGCTTCACGCCTCCTTGGAGAGCTGTCTGCTCTCAGCCAGCGGTGGAGCAGATGGGGCCAGGTCCCGGCCTGGCCACAGGGCCCAGCTGTCCCCGCACGTCCCAGTCAAGGGCACCACAGCCTGTCTCCCTTCTCCCAACAGCACCATCTGCTCAGCCGAGGGCCCCATCAGTGAGGAACCACACGGTTCATGCTCCCCCCACCCCCGAGAAGTGGTCACACAATCTCCCCCGATCGGGCCGGCCTCCCTCCCTCCCAGGCTGGTCCGGTCTGGCCCAGCCCCTTCCTCGTTTCCTATCCTCCGTCTGCCACTCGTCTGGACCCTGCTTTCCTCGCTCTCTCTGTTTTGTTTCACCGTCTTTGTCTTTCCCTCTCCCTGGCCCTGCCTCTGACGCAGGGGAGGTTCCATGCCCAGGCCTGGCTTGGACAGCACAGGTCTCCTCAAAGGCAAGGAAACTCGAACCAGGTGGGCCCAGAAGCACACGCTGTAAGAGGCCGAGGCCATTAGGGACCTGTCCAGCCTCCTCCTCCCATATTCAGTTCCAGAACATTGCAACAGAGCTTCTTGGAACAGGAGAAACGAAGGCCACCTGGCCCTGGAACCAGTGGACAGAGGCTGGACCAGCACTGCAAAGACCCCAAGGTCTCCCTGGCTGGCCATCCCTTAGCCCTTCAGTGCCATAGGGCCTCAGAATGCAGGCCTCCATCCGTCTAGTTGTATTGTGCCTGCCTGCACCAATGGCCTAAAGGAGGGCCTACCAAGAAATAGCACTGCCAGCCCTGCAACCTGCTTCTTACCTTGAGTTGTCAGGCACCCAAGGCAGGACCTGTGCCCATGCAGTAAGGCCCAGGTTCTCAGCTGGGCACTCAAGCCTTCATAATCTCGCTGGCCAGCCTAGCCTTGCCAGCACCCACCCCAGCACAGCAGCGGAACACTCCGTGTGCCCAGGGTGACTGTAATGTCCCAATGGGGATATTTTTGAGAGTGGATAGGAGACACTGAATAATCAAAGCATGACAACAGGTGGAGGCCAGAACTGGCCCAGGCAAGCCCAGGTGCATGGCAACCCCACTCGCTCCTCCATGTCTTCCTTCCCCTCGGCCTGAGCCGGCGCGCCCACCCTCCAGGTCCAGCAGCCTCTCTCTGAAAGCACCTCTGCTGGAGTTCCCTGATCCCAGCTGTCAGCGAGCCCTCCCCCTGCGGGCTGTCCTCCGCACCATCAGCTCAGCTGGCGGTCAGTCTTTGGATGGGGTGCGGCCCTGGGCTGCTACCCCCATGAGCACTTGAGAGGCTTGAGGCGCCATGTGTTCTTCCTGGGCCAAGCCCCCTCCAGGCCAGAGGCCTTTACCATCCTGTCTCCCTTTCTTTCTTCCCGCGGTCAGTGGCAGCCAGAGGAGTCCGAGGACTATGTAAGTAACAGGTGTGCGAGCGCGGGCAAGACCGGGGTCAGGCTGGGCTCGTGGGACACCGCCCTCTCCCTCCTTCCCTCCCAGCCTGTACTGCCAAGATCCACAGGGCACCAGCCACATCCGGAGAAAATTGGCATTTGTGCGCGAGCCCCGAGCTGAGCAGCGATTGGCATTTCTTCTAATCCTCGCTTCTCGCCTGTCGAGCAGCAATTTGAGGCCAATGTTCCTGATCGACCAGGGTCCGGCCCCTGCTCAGGCCAGACGGGGATGGAGTTAAATCCAATCCTGATCGTTTGGCCCTATTGATCCCTGGAGTGAAAAATCACCTGCTCGGGGCCCAGGCTGGGAGGGCAGTCTGGGGAGCCGGTTCTGGCATTGGTGCGCTCTGGAGCCCCAGCCCTGGGTGAACCTCCAGCCGGGGCAGGAGGGGGCCTGCGAGGGGTTGGTGGTGGCTGCTGTGACCCCGCTCGAGGCTCAGAGCTGGAGGGATGCCAGAGTTGGTGGTGACAGTTCTGTTCCACTGCACGGTGACCCTCCCTCCTTCCCCTTCTTCCCTCTGTGTGGCGTGGCTTGGCCCCCGTGGTGTTCTCCGCATGTCCGGAAGTAATGTCTCTGCTGGAGATGGGTGAGGAGCAGAGTTGCCCTGACTGACTGCTGGGGCTTCCTTGTTCGGCTCCCTGTCTCGCTCTTCTCCTGGCAGTTCATAGATGTTCAGATGCAGCCCACAGCCCAAGTGTGGTCAGCTGGGGTCCTGACCTGATCCTACAGGGTAGTGCCTGGCCCTGTGTGTGCACGTGTGTGTGCATGCATGCATATGAGTCCGTGCCTTTACTAGCATGCACAGGTGACCTTGCACCTGCTTACACAGGGGCTACAGGCCATGTGCATGTGCAAGCCAAGAACCCTGCAAAGTGCTGGGGGCGTGTGAGGCCTGTGCCCTGTGTGCATTGATTGTGTGAGGGCCTCATGGAGCATCATTGGCAGCACGATGGAGCAGAGGGAGCTGTGTGGCCTTTGTTCTCGTTTGAAAGGAAGAAGGAGCTGTCTGCTCCCAGGAAGGATGTTGCCCTCCAAGCCCACATCCCACCTGCCTGCCCTGGCTCCAGCAGAGTCCAGCCTTGCATAGCCCACTTCCTGTGCCCTCTGGCCCTGTGTGCCCCGGGGTCCCGCTCAGGCTAGGGCTCTGTCGTGGCTGACAGTCTGGCTGCTCCTTGCACTCTGATGGGAATGGGCCCCGCCTCCTCCCCCAGGAAACCACCATCAGCGGCCTCACCCCGGAGACCACCTACTCCATTACTGTTGCCGCCTACACCACCAAAGGGGACGGTGCCCGAAGCAAGCCCAAGATAGTTACGACCACAGGGGCCGGTGCGTGAGGGGCCGGGGATAGAGCTGGGGGTGGGGGTGGAGGGGTGGCAGGGAGGGCAGTGCCAGAGGCCAGTGCGTGGTTGTTCAGTCCCAGGCCGGCCCACCATGATGGTCAGCACCACGGCCATGAACACCGCGCTGCTCCAGTGGCACCCACCCAAGGAGCTGCCTGGAGAGCTGCTGGGCTACCGGCTGCAGTACCGCCGGGCCGACGAGGTGCGGCCCAACACCATAGATTTTGGCAAGGATGACCAGCACTTTACGGTCACCGGCCTGCACAAGGGAGCCACCTATATCTTCCGGCTTGCTGCCAAGAACCGGGCTGGCCCAGGTGAGGAGTTCGAGAAGGAGATCACAACCCCCGAGGACGTGCCCAGCGGCTTCCCGCAGAACCTGCGCGTGATAGGACTGACCACGTCTACCACGGAACTGGCCTGGGACCCGCCAGTGCTAGCGGAGAGGAACGGGCGCATCACCAACTACACCGTGGTGTACCGCGACATCAACAGCCAGCAAGAGCTGCAGAACGTCACCGCCGACACACGCCTCACGCTCTCCGGCCTCACACCCGACACCACTTACGACGTCAAGGTTCGCGCACGCACCAGCAAAGGCGCCGGCCCACTCAGCCCCAGCATCCAGTCCCGGACCATGCCCATGGAGCAAGGTGTGTGCTGCGGGCACAGCGGCGCCTGCCCACACATGGCTGCGCCTGGGGACCTCTGCTGTGTGACCCTCCAGTCTCTCCCGACACTGACCACTAACCTCTAGTGATGAACGGGCGCCACGTTCTTGGGTGTGTGACCCCTGACCTCTGCTGTTCTTGACCTACTGACTGCTGTGTGACCTTCTAATCTCTCGTGACCTTGACCCACTGATCTCTTTCAACTGCATCACCGGTCTCAGGTGTGCAACCCACCGATCTGTGGTGTGTGTGACACTAATCTCTGGGGGCTGTGACCTGCTGACCTCTAGTGGACGTGCTGCACCGCGCTCTGGTGTGCGGCCGCATGCGTCTCACGACTGCAGCCCACTCATCGCTGGCCGCCCTAGCCTGGTGTCTGTGAGTTCAAGCCTTTACCCACGCACCTTGGAAACTCCGGCCGTGGGCGCTGCAGCCTCCCCTGCCCGGTGCAGTGCTCGCTGTGCGCCTGGGAGTTGAACTGTGCCGTGTGGAGCCGGCTAGGAGTGGGGGCCCGGTGCTCTGCAACCATTCTTACTCCCCGTGCTCCTCCACCCGTGGCGTCCTGGTGGAGAGCCCTCCCGGCCCGTTCCCGCCCAAGCCCAGGCTGACTGTCCCTCCTTGTGCCTCCGCAGTGTTCGCCAAGAACTTCCGGGTGGCGGCTGCGATGAAGACGTCTGTGCTGCTCAGCTGGGAGGTCCCTGACTCCTACAAGTCAGCTGTGCCCTTCAGGGTGGGTAAGGGCCGCAGCCGGCCGAGCCCAGCCCACCCAGGCCCGCTGTGCGCTGTTACCCAGTCCTGACCCACGTGTGCACGTATCTGGGAGGCAGGCTTGTTGGGCTTGGGCGCGTGATGCTGCATTCTTGCGGGCCCATGGTGGGGAACCTCACCCCAGAGGCTCTGCCACACTCCGTGCCCCGCCCCCTTGCAGATTCTGTACAACGGGCAGAGTGTGGAGGTGGACGGGCATTCGATGCGGAAGCTGATTGCAGACCTGCAGCCCAACACGGAGTACTCGTTTGTGCTGATGAACCGGGGCAGCAGCGCGGGCGGCCTGCAGCACCTCGTGTCCATTCGCACAGCCCCCGACCTCCTGCCCCACAAGCCGCTGCCCGCGTCTGCCTACGTAGAGGACGGCCGCTTCTCCCTGTCCATGCCGCGTGTGCAGGACCCCTCGGTGGTCAGGTGTGGGGATGAGGCCTCTCGGGAGGCAGAGAAGAGGGAGGGGCTGCAGGCTGCCGCCGCCGCCGCCAGCCCTAATTCCGACTCTGCCCTCTCAGGTGGTTCTACATCGTGGTGGTGCCCATCGACCGTGTGGGCGGGAGCATGCTGGCCCCGAGATGGAGCACACCCGACGAGCTGGAGCTGGACGAGGTGCCTGTACGGGGGACGGGGCACTAGTGATGGCCCCGGGCACCAGTTGACCAGGGCCTCCCTGCACTGAGTGTTGCCCCCATAAACTCTCCGCCTGACTCACTCCCTAAACTGAAATCATTCTCCTGCCTTCCCTGGCGGGCCACCTGCCCCCTTCCTAGAGAGAGGGACATGGCAGGACAGACCCTGGGAGTGTTTGGTGAGCTGCCTGTGGGCTAGGCATCAGTAGAGCTGTCTCCACGGGCTAGAGAATCCTGAGCCCTGTAGATTTTGGAGAATCTCGAGAATTCACAGAAGGTACAGACCATGGGCAGGCAGGAGTGAGTCTAACAGCCTGTAGTCCCCAGAACGCTGGAAATCTGTGCTGTCCTCACGGCCCACGTGGAGACAACCCTCCCTGGTCCCAGTAACCGGCGGGAGGCATGGCACCGCGGCACTGGTGCTGTCCTGGGAGGGCTGAGGGTGAGTCGGGCTTAGGGCCTTACATGGAAGGTAGGCCTTAGTCTCAGCCCAGGAGGCTGGTGTCCAGGCCCTGGTCCCACGGTGGCTCCAAGGCCCTGCCTGACCACTCCTCACTCTGCTCCCCCAGCTCCTGGAGGCCATCGAGCAGGCCGGTGTGGAGCGGCGGCGGCGGCGGCAGGCGGAGCGGCTGAAGCCGTATGTGGCTGCTCAAGTGGATGTGCTCCCCGAGACCTTTACCCTGGGGGACAAGAAGAACTACGGGGGCTTCTACAACCGGCCCCTGTCTCCAGACCTGAGCTACCAGTGCTTCGTGCTCGCCTCTCTGAAGGAGCCCGTGGACCAGGTCTGCCTGAGCCGGTTTGGCCCTCAGCACCCCAGACCCAAGAGTGGCTAGGCCAGTCTCAAGCCACCACGAGAGCCCAGGTCTGCAGCAGCCTGGGGCTGCCCCAGAGACCTGGAACCTGCACTTGGGAGCCCAAGACATTAGGCCCTAGGCTCCAGAAGGCCAGACCTAATCTGGCTCCGGGGCCCAGCCTTGTTGACAAGGCTCAGGCCAGCTTCGTAGGGCCTGGGAGGGGAGTCCCAGCCCCAGAATCCTTCCTCCGGGTTTGATGGGCAGGCTTGGGGCTCTCACACGGGGCTCACAGGCCCTACTGTCCCTCCGCCCGGCCACAGAAGCGCTTTGCCTCCAGCCCCTACTCGGACGAGATTGTGATCCAGGTGACGCCAGCCCAGCAGCAGGAGGAGCCCGAGATGCTGTGGGTGACAGGCCCCGTGCTGGCGGTGATCCTCATCATCCTCATCGTCATCGCCATCCTGCTGTTCAAGAGGTGGGTGCTGTGCTGAGGGCACTGGGGACCCCGCTGACCCCTCATCTCTGGGTGCAGTGCCAGGAAGGGCAGCAATGGCGTGTACGCGTGCGTACACACGTCGTGTGTCTGTCCGGGGGCCTCTGTGCACATCAGCCTGGGTGTGGAGAGGAGCCAGAGCTTCATGGAGTGTTGTTCCTTGTGCATCTCAGGGCACGTCTGTCCGTCTGTCTGTCTTTCCGTGGGCGTGAGCATGTCTGTCTCCTCTTCAGCTCAGGATGCCACCCTCTCCTGTCTCCTACCTTAAGCACCTTCCTTCCTGCTCCGTTCCTAGAAGACTAGGTCCCAGGAGACCCAGAGCCAGCCGCAGCCCGCGTGCCCACACATCCTCACTTAGCAGACACTCCTTGACATCCCTGGCTGTCTCGGCCTCACACTCAGTGCCCTCGCTCCAGTAGCCGCCGCCACCTGCCCCTCCTGTCCATTCGCCTCCCAGACCCCAAGAGATACTTCCAAAGACTCAGTTTGCTATTCTGTGTCTAAAACCTTTCTGCCACTCCCGAGATAAAACCCAGCTTGGTCCTCCTGATGCCCCAACCCTTGCAGCTCCAGCCGTTGCCCGTTGCCCATTGCCCGTTCCTAGGCCAGCTCAGGCCAGCCCCACCTGCACACCTGCCTCTCCCTCTCCCCACGCAGCTGCTACCTGCCTCATCCTTGAAGACTCACAGGCTCCCGTGCCCCATGAGGGCTCCCCGGCCCCAACCCTTCCTCGTGCAGCCCCACCTCTGGCCCCCGTGGTGCTCCCTGGGAAGGCACTGGGCCTGTGGCTGGCCACGCGGAGCGTGCAAGTCCGCAGCGAGCGCCTGGTAGACGGATGTGTGCCGGAGTGTGTCTGAGCACAGCTGTGCATGGTGCCTGGCTCCTGTGCCCTGACCTCTGCCCTGTCTCCCCCACTCTCCCCCACTCCACCCCCGCTGCTTCCTCCCAGAGTAGATACTGCTGATGAGTGTTTCCCACCCCCACCCACCCCTCCACTCCCACCTAGATCCTGACGTCCACCGCCTCCCTGTGAATGCTGTGTGGGTGCTGTGTGCAGGTCCTACCGTGCCCCCACTTCACACGGGGCAGAGTGTGTGGTGCAAACTTTGACCGTTCCGTTCCTTTCTTCTGTCCTTGCCTGTCTTTCGGGACCTAGTAAACAAGAAAGGTAGGAGCCTTCTCTTCCCACGCCCCTGCCTACTTATCCCTGCTCACGCCTTGGGCCGGCAGGGAGGGATGGTGCTTTGAGCCAAAGCCCCACCTCGCACCCACCCACGCAGCAGGCTCCCCAGCTCAGGGCTGAGTCCTCCCTGGCTCCAGGGGCAGGCGCCCACCATCGCTCTCTTACAAGTTCAGCCCTGTACCTCTGCACAGAGCAAGCCCCTTCCTGGGGCTCGTGAGTTGTGCCTGAGTGCACAGAACTCACCAGAACCTTCCCCCTGCGCCCGGTCCCCTGAGAAGTTCCCTGGTGCTGCAGGAGACTGACTTGGCCCACCACGCAGAGCACGGGCCAGTGTGTCCTGCCTTGCGCGCATGCACACTCAAGCCCAGGCACACGGGGCTGCCTTCCTGACATACACGTTTGTGGCCCGCGGGTGACCCTTGAGTGTTTGTCAGCAGCTGGCCCCTGCAGTCTGTCTCTGACCCTGTCCTTGCAGCTGGGGAAGCTGAGGCCAGTGAGAGAGGACTCTGCCCGGAGAGGGTGCCGCCGTCCCCGCCCCTCCCCCGCTGCCGCGGGCCTTTACCCTGGCAGCCTGAGAGCCAGACAGCTGGGGCCCGGTCCCCCCATGATGTTTGCGTTTTTTATGTGTCATTTGCATGTTTATTCCTGGTGGCTCCCACTGCCTCAGCTCTGGTGGCCTTGGGGATAGCAGCCGCTGCCCAGCAGTGACCTACTTCCATCCAAAGGAGTCCCCAGCCTCCGCGACCCCTTCCTCCCTCGCTGCTCTGCCCCCTCCACCCACCCCACACTCCTGCTGTCTCCCACCCCATCCCTGCCCTGTGTCCTCTCATGTCGAAGCTGCTCTCCCCTGGCTCCTCCACGCGCAGAGACCCCAGGTGAGGTGGGGCGGTGGGGGCTGTGAAGCTGCTGGCCGGGACCTGCGTCGCTGTCCTCAGCCTGGGCCTTGGCTTCTCACTGACCCCTCTTCTGCCCCTTTAGGAAGAGGACCCACTCCCCATCGTCAAAGGATGAGCAGTCGGTTGGGCTGAAGGACTCTTTGCTGGCCCATTCCTCTGACCCCGTGGAGATGCGGAGGCTCAACTACCAGACCCCAGGTAGGGCAGCTCCCTCGCCTGCCTGCCCCCCGGCCCAGTCCAAGCTGGCGGCTCCACGGGCCCTGGGGTCTCTACCAAAGGACCTGGGCTGCAGGCCCCTGTTCTCTGTGCCTTTCTCTGCCCTCTCCTGTGCCCATTCATTTGGGCACGTACCCAGCAGCTGGACCAGCGCCCTGGGCACAGAAGCCTCTAGGGGTGGCCAAGCTGCTTATCCCCTCACCCTGGCTGTGGTTGAGGCCTCTGAGTATGGGCTGAGGAGCCTCCCTAGCACCCACAACCACATCACAGGGTGGCCACTGTCAGCTTCTGTACGCTGACCCCTCCACACAGGCCCTGTGAAGAGAAGGGGTACCCACCCTGACCCCAGGTCTGGCCTTCAGGGACGAGGACTACGGCTCAGAGCGTGGTGCCCCACTTCCTCCCTGGTCACTTGTGAGCTGTCCACTGTCCGCTCGCCACGTGACGTCCCTCCTCCCCCGTGCCCAGCAGACTTAGCTCAGGCCAACCTCCCGGGAGGGCCTCCCCAGTGCTGAGTGTGTCCTGGACCCCAGAGCCTCCGCTCCCATCACAGCGCCGCCTCTGACCATCCGAGCCCTGCGGCCTGCCCTTCCCTTGTCCCTTGCACTGTGTATGTGGTGGCTTCTTGTGAGTCAGGGCTACACCCAGGGGCTGTATGGCAACGACTGTCCAGAGTGAGAGTCCTTTAGAGCAAGGGTGGGCCCAGTACAGCCCCGCCTGTTTGTGGGGGTGCAGTTTTCCTGGACACAGCCCAAGCACTCGTCTCTGTGCATCCGTGGCTCCTTTCTGACTGCAGAGGTGGAGTTGGGTGGATGCCTGGGTACTGGGTGCCCCCAAAGCCTAGGCCTCAGAGGAAAGAAGCTGTAGGCGTCGGCTGGCTGAGTCAGCCTGGGTCCCGCGGGGCTGTCAGCTGCGCTAGCCACATGGGACCTCTCAGGATAGCCTCAACTTCCTCACGACGCAGGGACTGACTGCCCAGGGCAGGTGTGCCTGGCGGGCTGGGGCAGCCCAGCATGATGCGATCCGGGAGGCATCCAGGCGCTGGGGCGGAGGTCCATCCTGGGCCAGGAAAGGCAGTGGGAGGTCATTCCCTTCCATGACGCGCATGCCGCACTCCGAAGCCTCATGTGTGTTAGGTGTTGCCGTGGCCGGGAGCCACGTGCATGGGACCGAGGGGTGGCTGCAGGGTTGGGCAGAGGTCAGTCTCAGCGGAATGCAGACACTGAGCTGCGGCCGTTTGGGTATCGGGGAGACAGTTTTGGCTTTCAGCAGGGGCTGCTGTGTGGACGGTAGAGCGGAGGAAAGGCCTGGGGCAGTATTTAGAAGGCTGCTGTGTGAAAGGCGACAGTGGGGACAGAGGGACCGAGTCGGGAACAGCAGGCAGGAGGCAGAACAGCAGGACTGGAGCTTACATCTATGCATCGCAGCTGGAGGCGAGTATGGCTCCAGCGCTGCGGGCTGGGCAGTGGGGAGTGCTGTCCAGGCGGCTGCGGGCCCGCAGGCCTGACCCACCGTGCTGGCGTGGGAGCTGCCGAGCGGCACGTGGCCATCACAGAGGAGCAAGCCCAGGCTCTCCCAGGGGGCAGGCATGAAGAAGGAAGGACCCCTGCAGGGGAAGGTGGGGCGGGGGAGGGGCGCCAGGCAGACCGAGGGGCAGGGAGACCAGTAGGCAGGTGCATCGGCTGCGGCAGCTGGGATCTCGGAGGGAGTGTGGTGGCTGAGTGTTTCAGTGAGCTGAGGAGTGGTGAGAAGGGGACAGGCACGTGCAGAGACTTCCACAGCCAGCTGGGAAGGAGCACAGCGTGAAGCAGAGGGTGTGCGATGCAAATAGGATTTTCCCCCCTCATCCTACGTGGCAGTCCTCTGCAGATAGCCCAGGCCAGGCCGGTTTGAAGTCGGTACAGTCATTTGCGCTGTGCCTGGTGGAGCCACAGGCTGTACACCCGGCCGTGGTCCCCCAAGACCATGGCCCCTGGTGACGTCGTGGCTGTCGGAGCCTGTCCTCCCACGCTGAGCACACACCTGCCGTGGCGCTTGTCAGAGTGTGTCCTTAGGTGTAGCAGCCATATGTGTGCTGGCGGATGGGGCCAGGGCTCCTCCCACAGCCCCCAGCCACTCACTGCCCCTTCCTGCTCTCAGCCCCTCCCCAGGTCCCCAGCCGCTCCAAGGGACCAGGAAAGGTTAACAGGCCCTCTCCTCTCGCCTCCTTGTTGTTTTGTTTTCTGTTTTTTCTCCGCAGGTTCCAGTGCCCCCAGTTGCCCGAATATCTCAAGTTAGTTTTCAAAGTTCCCTAGTTGGGGATACTTTGGCTTCCATGTCTGTTTCCACGCCTCTGCGGCTCCTGCCCCTCCCCTCCCCCATCCCTTCAGCCCACCTCTCCCCTTTCCTCCCCTTTCTCGACTCTGTCCGCTGTCCCCCACCTCTGTCCTCTCTGCCCTCCTCTGCCTCCAGTTCTGTTTCTTCCCCGCCCCCTCCTCTCCAGCCTCCTGTCTCAGTCGGACACCTTTCCGGGTGCCCTGTCTCCAGCCCCCCCCCACTCTGCCATTGTCTCTGTACTTCGTGCCCACTCCATCCACAGCGTCACCGAGTCTGCCGTGGCAAACGGCGCCAGTGAGGGGCAGGAGGGCTGTCTGAGGCAGCTGTCGGCCCGAGAGGGAGGAAGCCGCTCGGCCCTCTCGCGCAGACCCGCCAGGCAGGACCCTGGTGCCCCCACTCCGCGTGCTCACGGCGCACATACACCCCACCCCCACCCCCAGCCACCATCCCCGTCGCCGCATGTGCCGCCGTTTCCATGCCACCAGTGCCAAGTGCTCCATGGTCACACGTGTTCCCATGTGCACATACACGCATCGGGGCTGTCTCCGCCACCCCACTCAAGCCTCAGCTCACTCTGCCTGTGTGTGCCTGCCCCCCCCCCAGGTATGCGAGACCACCCACCCATTCCCATCACTGACCTGGCCGACAACATCGAACGCCTCAAAGCCAACGACGGCCTCAAGTTCTCCCAAGAGTATGAGGTGAGCCATCCCCACGTCTTGCTGTGTGCCTGGCTCAAGCCTCTTCTTGTCCGGGGCTCCAGGCTTTCCCGCAGCAGAGAGAGGAGGCTCAGCCCATCCAGAAAGTGGACTCCTAGGGGCCGGGCCTGGCCTGGGCCTTGTCCACTACCAGTCACCTCAGGTGGGGCTTTGGAAGGCTGAGTACCTGTTTGGTCTGGACGCTCAGACACGTGCCCAGATGCACACAGAGGCACGCACACACAGGGTCACAGGCACGGAGCAGTCATAACGGCCGCCCTCGCTGGCCTCTGCTAAGACTTGCTGCAGACCCACCCCAGGCTGGGCACTCGGCATCCTCGTCTCTCTGAGTGTCCTCCCAGTCTGAGGATCCGGGTATTGTTAGATGGGAAAGTGGAGGCTCAGAGCGGGGGTGACTTGCCCAGGGTCAGTGGCTGGGGAGGAGGAGAGCAGGATTCCTAGCCAGGCCTGCCTGACACCCTGTGCCTTGCACATGTGTGCGATGACGTGTGTAGAGTGGCACAGCTCACAGATGGAGAGCAGGAGCCTTGAGGCCGGCTGCCCAGGATGCACAAATCCTTCTGCTTGGAGCTTCCCACATGTTGACCTCACTGTGACCTTGACTCCTGCCTGCCAGGCTCCAGGGGTTTCCTTCCCAACACAGTTGGTGGCCAGGGATGACTCAGTGTCCCCAGGCCACCCAGCTGGGCAGGGGCTTTGTTAGGGAAGGCAGAGAGAAGGGCGTGCTGGAGGTACTTCCTGCCCTCTGCAGCCCTGTTTCCCAGCACCTGCTGCGGGCCTCGGCGCTTCACTGTGGACTGGGGAGCTGAAGGGCTGGCTGAGTGGAATGTGAGCTTCTCCCCTTCCAGTCCCATGCCCACCTCAGCTGTACAAAGGGGTGCAAAGATAGCCCTTCCAAGGCCTGCGGGCTAGGCAGATGCCAGGGCCCTGGGCCAGGTTTCCCAAGGGGAAATTGAGCTTGGCCAGCAAACGAATGAGCACATCTGCTGCTGAGGGACTGTACAGCCCCTACCTTAGAGCACCTGCTTGAGCCCTGCCTTGCAGAAGGCCGGGCTGCAGGCTGACGAAGCTCATGTGCTGGGCTCCCTGCCTTCAGTTCCTTCTCCAGCCGGGAAAGGCCTTCTCTGGTCTTCGGCTCATCCTGCTCCGTGCCGCGTCCCACACCAGCCCTTCCTTCCGACGAGGCCCTGCCTCATTGTCTGGGCTCCCTGCGGTCCTCCTTCCAACTTCTGCTCGCTCCTCTCCTCGGGTCAGAGCTTTTCCTATGAAACCCTCTTCCTCCAGGAAGCCGCCTTTGCCTCCAGAAGCTGCCACAGCCTCTCCCTTGTCCGAGATCCCGTGGCTGTTCCCAGCCATTGCCCACATGTGAGCATTCACCATGTTCCAGTCCCTGTGTGGGACCTGGGGCGATGGTGACAGGGGCCCCAAGTGCCCCAGGGGCCAGTCAGTTTGCCCATGTGACTGTCACCGTGCCCCACTATTAAATAGCCAATGTCCATAGAGGAGACAGGCGGCACCGAGACAGCCTGAGGGTCGGTGCGTGCTGGGGGGGGGACTCGTGGAAGCAGTGTTGCTGTCCCGGGCAGAGTAACAGGGCTGGGAGGAAACGCAGAGGACCATGTGCTGTGCCAAGAACCGGATCGCAGCCATCTGTGAGACAAGGCAGCATGGGAGAGTCTCGTGTGAGACCTGGGTGAGGGAATGATGCAGGAAGGCCTTGGCCGTATCATTATTGCCACTTAAGGACTGCCGTGGGACACGAAGGCTGTGAAGCAGGAAACTGAGGCTCGTGTGTGCGTTTTCAAAGGACTCTGCTGTAGGACAGAGGAGGTCAGAGCAGGGCACGAGAGAAGAGGCGGGGGGGGGGGGTGGCCTGGCTGAGGGCGGTGGCAGCAGCTGGAGAGAGCCAACCCGGAACAGGGCACAGTTCAGCGTGACCGGAGGGAGAGGGTGCTGAGGGCTTTCAAGATTGGCTCGCAGGTTCTAGGCTGGGCTTCTGGGTGAATGAGCGACAGTGCTTTGAGCCGAGCCCGAGGTGGAGGAGCAGCAGAAGGCGGGAGGGGAAGATGATGAATGTGGCTTTGGAAAGATTGAGGGTGAGGGGCTGCAAGGCCTCCAGGTGGCCATGCCCGGGAGGCCGCCTGATACCTGGGCAGAGCCTGCAGTCCAGCAGGATCACAGGCAGCTCCAGCATGCGCATGTGAGAACCCTGGCAGCGACCCACCAGGCCCAGGGAAGCAGGAAGCGTGAGAAGAGGGCAGAGAAGCAGCCAGAGAGCTGGCAGGGCCCCCTCAAGAGCTCCTGGTACTTCTGGGGTTGGGGGCCTGCCCTTCCCCTGTCTGCCCTCACCCTGCTCCTCTGGTCCAGGGTGCCACAATCAGGCACCCCCAGCATGTCACCTTGCTGGTAGGTGGCGTGGCAGCTCCCAGGCTGCGGCGGCACTGTGAGATAGGCATTGGCTGTGGCCTGTGGGGTGTGAGCACCACCCCATTAGACCGGGTACCCCAGGGAAGCGGTCAGGCCCAGCGCTTCCCTCACTCCATCTGCTTCCTGTGTTCCCTGCAGTCCATTGACCCTGGACAGCAGTTCACGTGGGAGAATTCCAACCTGGAGGTGAACAAGCCCAAGAACCGCTACGCAAACGTCATCGCCTACGACCACTCCCGAGTCATCCTCACATCCATCGATGGTGAGCCAGAGGCGAAGCCCCGCCCCCACCCCCAGCCAGCTGGGATGATTGCTCATCCTGCAGGAAGACCCAAGGGTACCTTGAGGCATGGTGGGCCGGGCTGGGGTCGTGCCCTCCCACGTGCCTCCCATCCGCAGGCGTCCCGGGCAGCGACTACATCAACGCCAACTACATCGATGGCTACCGGAAGCAGAACGCCTACATCGCCACGCAGGGCCCCCTGCCCGAGACGACGGGCGACTTCTGGCGGATGGTGTGGGAACAGCGCACGGCCACTGTGGTCATGATGACACGGCTGGAGGAGAAGTCCCGGGTGAGGCTGAGGGGCCATTTCTGTCCCCGCGGAAAGGCATTCCCTGGGGAGGGAGGGAACGTGCTGCTGTGGTTTTCCTGGAGCGTTTCCATCCGAGCTCCTGGACTGCAGCGTGTTGCCGGCACTGGGGGGCTGCCGGGCTGTCAGCCTGTGTCACCGAATGCCGCTGTTTCCTGGCAGTGTCCGTGTGTCCCTGGCAGCTGGCTTGTTCCCGAGGTGTTTGCCTGCTCCCGGGACGCTGGAGTGTTCCCGGCGCGTTCATAAGCTCCTAAGTTCATCAGCGGGAAGAGCAGCGGTTAGCTGCTCGTGCGCTGTGGAGCGTTGACTGGAACGTAAAATTTACAGAGCTTGAAAACAGCACATAAACGGGATGGGTAAATTTGGCAGAAAGTGCCTGGTACGATCTGGTCTTGAATAAATAATTTTCAATTACGGCCCTCGTTCCATCAGCTAAGGCAGGGGCAGTGGCTTGGTGGGATGAGGCAGGGGAAGGGGTGTGAGCGGCCAGGGCTGGGGAGCCCTGCACCCTGTGTCGCCTGTCTCGGCCTTTGGGCAGCCCCTCAACATCCCTGTCCCCCTGCAGGTAAAGTGTGACCAGTACTGGCCGGTGCGAGGCACCGAGACCTACGGCCTTATTCAGGTGACCCTGCTGGACACGGTGGAGCTGGCCACGTACACCGTGCGCACCTTCGCTCTCCACAAGGTATGGCTTTGCCCCGGGCCTTGTCCCCCATCCATGGGGGCCGGGCGGTGGCGGGGGTGTGTGGTGCAATGGCCCAGCCGTGCCAGGGGATGGTGCTGCAAGCGCCGTGGGGCCGCCTGGGTGGCTTCCGAGCCCCGTGAGAGAGCCGCGGCTCTGGCCCCAGCAGCGAGTCCACCTGCCCCGCCTGGTCAGCTCGTCCGTCTCCCCACCCTTCTCCCCAGAGTGGCTCCAGTGAGAAACGGGAACTGCGTCAGTTCCAGTTCATGGCCTGGCCAGACCACGGGGTTCCCGAGTACCCAACCCCCATCCTGGCCTTCCTGCGCCGGGTCAAGGCCTGCAACCCACTCGATGCAGGGCCCATGGTGGTGCACTGCAGGTGAGAGGGGGCAACACCCCCCGACACGGGTGGTGGGTCGGGAGGTAGGCGGGCCTCGGCCCACACTGAGCCCATGTTCTACAGCGCGGGCGTGGGCCGCACAGGCTGCTTCATCGTCATCGATGCCATGCTGGAGCGGATGAAGCACGAAAAGACGGTCGACATCTACGGCCACGTGACGTGCATGCGCTCCCAGAGGAACTACATGGTGCAGACAGAGGACCAGTACGTGTTCATCCACGAGGCGCTGCTGGAGGCCGCCACGTGTGGACACACGGAGGTGCCCGCCCGCAACCTCTACGCCCACATCCAGAAGCTGGGCCAAGTGCCTCCTGGGGAGAGTGTGACTGCCATGGAGCTCGAGTTCAAGGTGGGGCTCGGGTGGACCTGCTTGGCTCCGGGGGGCCTGGACTGGGCCATGGGGCTGACCCCCCCAACACACACACACACAGGAAGACAGGCCTGACCTCCCCCTCCCTCACAGTTGCTGGCCAGCTCCAAGGCCCACACGTCTCGCTTCATCAGCGCCAACCTGCCCTGCAACAAGTTCAAGAACCGCCTGGTCAACATCATGCCCTACGAGTTGACCCGCGTGTGTCTGCAGCCCATCCGGGGCGTGGAGGGCTCGGATTACATCAATGCCAGCTTCCTGGACGGCTACAGGTCAGCCCGCTTGTCACCGCTCACACACACCCACACACGCCCACGCGCACACTCTTACATGCAGCCTCTGAGTACCTCGGCCTGCTCCCGGCTGCCTGGGGGACAACAGAGCAGAGGCAGCCCAGACTCCAGAGAGGGCCGGGTAGAGCAGCGAGGACGTCCCGGAGGAGGGGTGATCGGAGCAGGGCCCCCAGGAGCCTAGGCAGTCTCAGGAGAGACTGGGGACGGCAGCATCTCCGGCATGTTCAGTCTCATGTCCGCCCCAGGCAGCAGAAGGCCTACATAGCTACACAGGGGCCTCTGGCGGAGAGCACCGAGGACTTCTGGCGCATGCTGTGGGAGCACAATTCTACCATCATCGTCATGCTGACCAAGCTGCGGGAGATGGGCAGGGTGAGCCCACCCCCTCCCCGCCCCCTGGGGCCCCTCGCATCCCCGGGGGCGGGGGGACACCTGCCACCTCGGGAGAGCTGTCTCTCATCTTCCTGGCTCCCTTCACTCCCCAGCCTCCCATCAGCACGGCCTCAGGCCCCCCTCGTCACTGCCCGAGGCTTCCTGTCCCAGAGTCACCCCAAGACTGGTGCTCCCTTCCCGCCCTGACTGTGGGGGACCTGGCCTCTGTCCACAGGAGAAATGCCACCAGTACTGGCCAGCAGAGCGCTCTGCCCGCTACCAGTACTTTGTTGTTGACCCGATGGCCGAGTACAACATGCCCCAGTATATCCTGCGTGAGTTCAAGGTCACGGACGCCCGGGTGAGTGTGCCTGGGTGTGTCCCTAACCCACCCCGTCTGAGCAGCCCCTGGCACCGGCTGCAGGAGCCTGAGGTGGGGGTATGGGTATTGAGGTGTGAACATGTCTGCTAGTGTGGGTTCCCGTGTGACAACCTCACTGGTACACCCATGTCATTGCACTGCCCTGGCCTGGCCCACAGAGACTGACCCTGTGCCCACCCTCCCCTCCCAGGATGGGCAGTCAAGGACGATCCGGCAGTTCCAGTTCACAGACTGGCCAGAGCAGGGTGTGCCCAAGACTGGCGAGGGCTTCATTGACTTCATCGGGCAGGTGCACAAAACTAAGGAGCAGTTCGGGCAGGACGGACCCATCACAGTGCACTGCAGGTGGGCTGTCCCCCCCGGACGGCTGGGACAGGCAAAGGCGTGGGGGGATCAGGACTGTGACGCAACTGTGTCTGTGCAGTGCCGGCGTGGGCCGCACCGGGGTGTTCATCACTCTGAGCATCGTCTTGGAGCGCATGCGCTATGAGGGCGTGGTCGACATGTTCCAGACCGTGAAGACCCTGCGCACGCAGCGTCCTGCCATGGTGCAGACGGAGGTACGCAGACCAGCAGGTGTCCTCTGGCGCTTCCAGTATTGAGCGGGATGCTCAGGGCAGAGGCACGTGGGACCCTGCGCCCCAGCTCTGTGCTGTGCTGTGCTGTGCTGGTTCCTAGCCAGGGTTGGTCTTGGCAGTCCCCATGGGGTGCACGGTCTCAGCACAGATAAACATGATTGGGATGGCAGGGAGCCTGGGAGAGGAGCCTCCAGAAACCTCCTGTAGGCTCCCCTGGACACTGCCTGGGGGCAGCTGGCTGTGTCCAGCAGAGCCTGACTCCCTGGCCCGCTGGCTGCAGCCTGAGCGACCTTGGCAATGTGATGGGGGATCCCTTGGCACTGCCACACTGAGCAGCCGCCCTGTCTTGGCAGGACCAGTACCAGCTGTGCTACCGTGCTGCCCTGGAGTACCTCGGCAGCTTCGACCACTATGCAACGTAACTACTGCTCCCCTCTCCTCCGCCGCCCCCGCCTGGGGGCTCCGGAGGGGACCCAGCTCCTCTGAGCCATACCGACCATGGTCCAGCCCTCCTGCACGGATGCTGTCGCAGGCAGAGCACAGCCCACTGGGATCACAGAGTTTCAGGAGCACCACCCCCACACCGGCGAGTGGGCGGACCGGCGGGCAGGGCCCCTCTCTGTCCACCAGGCCCACCTGGAACCCGCTTCAAGCTCTCTGTTCGCTGCCGCGTCTCTCATGCTTCTTCTCATGGGTGGGGAGGGGGCAGAAGCCTCCTTTTTTATACATTAAGCGGGGTAGACTGGAGGGATGCTAGGCTCTTCCCTCTGATTTTTTTCCTTTGGCAAATTCTGAACTTACAGAATGAGCCGCCCTGGGGGTGGGGTTTCCTTTGTTTTCCTCTCTGAGTTCACCTTGGATCCTTCTTTCCTATGACTTTGACTGCTGAGGGGCAGGACGCGCCTTCCTAGGGTGGAGCCGGGACCACCAGGCTGAGCGGCCCCTGGCGAGAGGCGGCGCTGATGCCTCTGCTCCTCAGCCCCTCGATGAGACCCCGTTTCAGCCAAATGCAGGGAAACATGGTGTCTGTTTAGTTTTCGATTTGTTTTTCTGTAAGAGCCCCATTTTCAGGCCCCGCGGTTGGCGGTGGGCGAGGAGGAGGCGGGCAGCACAGGTCCCCGTCCTCGCTCCCGTGTGCGTTCCACATTCCCGGTGCAGAACCACGGACACGGCGTCAGGGAGCCTCGCAAGGTGTTCCTCATCACCATCGTGTTTGCAAAGATCTGAAGAACCAACACCACAAACATCTAAAAAAAAAAAAAAAAAAAGGAAAAAAAAAAAAAAAAAACAGAGAAATAGAGGCATCCCCTGGCCTCTGCTTCAGACCCCCAAGCGGGAGGCCGCTCCGAGTGCCTGGGCTCCCAGAGCGTGGCTCTGACCCCAGCATTACAGTGCGGCGCGGTGTTTGTAGGCTGCGGGATCCAGCTATGTGGCCAAGCGAATGGCACAGGTGGAGCTGTGGGCCAGGGCCGGCAGGGAAGTGGCTGGCCCTTCAGGTCCAGGCCAGTGGGCCTGGAAGCACAGTCTGTGCTCCGCAGGAGTGGAGGACTCCCCTCCCTGGTTTGCAGCTGTTTTCAAAGCCCCCAAGAATCTTGCTTTGGCTACGCCCTCGTGAACCAATGTGACAAGGCTACTGGACGCTAGTAGCGGACTCAAGTCAGTCCCATGGTCTCGGCTTGCCGAGGGGCAGGGAGAGGGCCTCTTCCTCTGGGCAGTGCTATCTAGGTAGGTAAGTGGGGCGGGAAAGGGTGCATAGTGGTTTTAGCCAAGGGTCGCGATGCAGGCGTCCCCGGATCTAGCTAGGCTAAGTCAAGATCAACAATCAGGGTTGGTAATGTTGGATGAGACATTCATTTTTACCTTGTGGATGCTAGTGCTGTAGAGGTCACTGTTGTACACAGTCTGTTTTCTATTTGTTAAGAAAAACTACAGCATCATTGCATAATTCTTGATGGTAAATAAATTTGAATAATCAGATTTCTTACAAGCAGGGCCTCAGTGTCGGCTCTTTGCGGAGGGATGGGTTCTGGGGACTCCTGTCGCTGAGACTGCTGTGTCCGTGGCAGGGCTGGGTCCTGGCGTGGCCACCTGTCCTGGGAAAGGAGCACTCGCACACTCTGAGGGCCAGGCCTGATACACGGCGCACTGAGAGCACCCGTGCTGGGGAACAGACTGCCATGAACGGTGCTGGACCTCCCTCCCTGCTGCTGTAAGGAGCGTGGCCCTGTGGCTGTGGGTTCATGAGGACCCTTGCCATTGTTGCAGTGTGGCCATCTGGCCCGTAAGCACGCAGCCACTTCGCTCCACTGGTGGCCACGTGAGTTTGACCCAGCTGTCAAATTGTGGGACTTCTCGGGGTACTGAGGTAGAGGAGACCCAGAACAAGGCGGGAAGAGAAAGCCGTCAGGCAGCAGCCCACAGAGGAGCTGTGGCCACACTGAGGCAGCCTCTGACCCTGGCAAGGGGCTGGGGAAAGGCTCCTGGAGGAGGTGACGTGAGCCAGAGCCTGAGTATCTTGTAGGGTAGGGTAGGGGGAGGAGAAGCATTGCCTATTAATGGGACAATCTAGGCAACGGCTTGGAAGCTTAAAAATGGAGAGAGATGTGAGGAACTCTCAAGTGCAGTGCGACTGGAGGGTGGAGCCAGGTCGTGCAGCTCAGGGGCCTAGCTGGATGGGCCGGGGGAATGCAGGTGTCCCCGGCGGGTGAGGTGCCTCTGACTGCCTGGGCCCCCTCCACCACGGCACACACCCCCCCCCCCCCAGCTCAGGGACTGAGAGTGACCGGGGCCTGGCACCAGGTCTCTTCTTAGTACCCGCAGCACCTGGTTAGTGCCTAGCCTGCAATGTCTGTTCCAAGAAGGGACCCCATGGCGTTAGATTGGAATCGTTTGCTAAGAGAACAAGCCCTTAGATGTTTTCAGGTGAGGGAAGGATGCCAGATTCTCACGGAGCTGGGACCGGCACCTGCTGAGGACTGCTGTGGAGGCCTACCTGTGCCTCCTGACAGCAGCCCCACCCCCACTGCTACCTCCAAACGCCTCCAGAGCCACCCCTCAGCCCTTGGCACCCCAGGCACCCAGTCTTCAGATGACACCTTCCTCCCTCACCCCCACATGCCACTCATCACCAGCCCTGCCTGTCTGGCCTCCTCTCTTGCGTCTGTTGGACTGTACCTTGCCACTGTGTCCGGGCCACACTGGACCTCACTGGGACAGCTGCCGTGCCTTCTGCCTGGTCTACCTGCCCCCAGCCCTGCCCCGACCTAGCCATTCTCAACACAGGAGCCAGAGCGATCCTAAGCCGGGCACGGGCATGGCCAGGTCGCTGTCCCGAAGAGACACTGCCATGCCTCACAGTGAAACATCGCTCCATGGCTTGGCCTCTGTGACCTCACCCTCAGCCTGCCCTGCAGCCTGCCTTGCCATTTTATCTCCGCTCCAGACCTGCCCATAAGCTGTTCTGGAACATTCTCCCCCACCTCTGGCCAATGCCTCATGTTTAGGGCTCAGCTGAAAGCATTTCCTTCAGAGGCATCCCTAACTGCCTTCAGTGAGGTTAGGTGAACCTGCTAGGTAAGCAGCTTGAGTTCCTTCACGTGATCCACACGATGAGCTGTGAGGTAGGGCGGATTGTGCTCGCTTTAACTATGAGAAAGTCAGGCCTCGTCCTCTCACCAAACAGTTACCTAATGTGCATTTGCTACATGGTGGTCGCAGTTCTAGGTGCCTGGAGTGCATCAATGACCTGAGCTCTGTGCTCCAGGCATTTATACTCCTCTACCAGGAAACATCTAACACCTATGGAAACCAGTGAAGATGGTTGGTTAGGAAGTGATAAGTGCCATGGGAGGTTACATTAAGAAGGATGGCACTCACAGGGGAAGGTTGGGTTTGTTTTTCTGTTTTTTTTTTTTTTTTAAACATTTATTTTGAAAGGCAGAATTAAAAAAAAAAAAGATGGGGAATCATACAGAGAGGTCTTCCATCTACTGGTTGACTCCCCAAATGGCCATAATGGCTGGGGTTGGGTCAGGCTGAAGCCAGGAGCCAGGAGCTTCTTCTGGGTCTCCCACGCAGATGCAGGGAGACCATCTTTCAATTGGGCCATCTTTTTTGTTGTTGTTGTTGTTGTTGTTGACAGGCAGAGTGGACAGTGAGAGAGAGAGACAGGTGAGAAAGGTCTTCCTTTGCCGTTGGTTCACCCTCCAATGGCCGCCGTGGCCGGCGCGCTGCGGCCGGCGCACCGCGCTGATCCGATGGCAGGAGCCAGGAGCCAGGTGCTTTTCCTGGTCTCCCATGGGGTGCAGGGCCCAAGCACCTGGGCCATCCTCCACTGCACTCCCTGGCCACAGCAGAGAGCTGGCCTGGAAGAGGGGCAACCGGGACAGAATCTGGCGCCCCGACCGGGACTAGAACCCGGTGTGCCGGCGCCGCTAGGCAGAGGATTAGCCTAGTGAGCCGCGGCGCCGGCCCAATTGGGCCATCTTTTACTGCTTTTCCGGGCACATTAGCAGCAGGGTGGATTGGAAGTGGAGCAGCCAGGACTCAAACCGGCGCCCATATGGGATGCCACCATTGCAAGCTGTGGCTTAATTCACTATGCCACAGCACTAGCTCTGAATGTTTGGTTATTAATTAAGGTGGACAGAGAAGCCTTAACTGGGAAGGCAGGATTTCAGGAAAAACTTGGGTCTGGGGAAATTTTGCCTAAACATTGAGATGAGCAACCTCGCTGAGGGAGTCACTGGAGTAGGGCCCTGGACAAGGTGTTGGCCAGAATGCTCTCTCTGCCTGAGGGCAAGAGAGTTGCAAGGGGAAAAAGGACAGAAATCCAGGTGTGAGGGGCCAGGGCTGTGGTGCAAAGGGTGAAGCCACTGCCTGAGACACCAGCATCCCAGTGGACGCCAGTTTGAGTCCTGGCTGCTCCATTTTCAATCCAGCTCCCAGCCAATGCACCTGAGAAGCAGCAGACGCTGGCCCAATTCCTAGGGCTCCTGTACCTACGTAGGAGACCCAGATGAAGTTCCTGGCTCCTGGCTTCGGCCTGGCCCCTCCCTGGCTGTTGCAGCCATTTGGGGAGTGAAATAACAGATGAAAGATTTGTCTCTCCCTGTCTCTTAACTCTGCTTTCAAATAAATCTTAAAAAAAAACAAAAAAAAAAAAAAAAAACACTGCACGGTTTTGGCCTGAACAACGGCCAGGATAAAGTTCACATTTGCTGAAACAGAGAAAGCAGTACCCGAGTGAAGCAGCCTTCTCAAGGGTCCCCAGGAGAATTAGAGTTGGTGTCGCTGCCATGGCTGCCTCACTCTGGGGCTGTCTCCACCTGAGTAATGCTACAGATTCAGATGTCTTAGGCAGAAAATGTTTGGAAGTAGTGTACCAAAAACCTGATGACAAGTAGAGAGGTGGGTTTTTTTTTTTTTTGCATGTTTATAATTTTCTGAATTTAAATAGCTAATTTTACCTTAATTTTTAAAAACAATACTTCCTTATCAAATATCTCTTTTAAAAACTTTCACAGGGGCAGTGCTGTGGCATAGCTGGTAAAGCCACCATCTGCAGTGCCGGCATCCCATATGGGTGCCGATTTGGGTCCCTGCACTCCTGTGGGAGACCTGAAAGAAGCTTCTGGCTTCTGGCTTTGGACCTGCCCAGCTCCGACCATTGCAGCCATTTGGGGAATAAACCAGCGGATGGAAGATGAAAGATATCTCTCTCTTCCTGTCTCTTTCTATCTATCTCTCTCTCTCTCTGCCTCTCTGTAACTCTGCCTTTCAAATAACTAAAAAATCTTTTAAAAATTATTTTAATTTTATTTGAAAGGCAGAGAGACAGATTTTCCATTTGCCAGTTCACCTATCAAATAGCCACATCAGCCAGGCCTGGGCCAGGCAGAAGCCAGGAGCGCAGACACTCCAATATGGCTTAACTACAATACCAAATGCCTGCCCCATATTTCCTTTTTAAAATTTTTTTTAAGATTTATTTATTTTATTTGAAAGGGAGAGTTAGAGAGGGAGACCAGTATCTTCGATCTGCTAGTTCACTTCCCAAATGGCTGCAACAGCTGGGACTGGATCAGACTGAAGCCAGGAGCCAGGAGCTTCTTCCAGATCTTCTATGTGGGTGCAGGGGCCCAAGGACTTGAGCCACCCTCTGCTGCTTTTCCAGGCACATTAACAGGGAAGTGGAGTGGAAGTGGAGCAACTGGGATTCAAACCGACATCCATATGGGATGCTGGCTTCACAGGTGGTGGCTTTACCTGCTGTGCCACATTAATCCCCCATTTCCTTATTTTTAAAAATAAGAAAACCCTTCTGAACTTGTCCTGTCCCCCAACTCCCTGGAAGGAGTCACTGTTACCAATTTAGTCGAGATCTTTCTGAGCATCTTCTATGATATGAACATACAGACATGTATGTGAATTGTATTTTTTTCCAGAATGATACTGCTCATATCTTTCTGAAAATTGCTGTTTCCTTTAAATACACTGTGGACTTCTTTCTACTTCGGGAGCTCACTTATTAAACAGCTTCGTACTATTCTGTTATGGGTGTACTCTAATTTTTAAGTGGTTATCAGTGCAGTTTTCTGATTAAAGAGGAAATAGATGCACATAATAAAATAGATGAGAGCATTTCCCACCATCTTGAGGGGTACAAATAAAAGATAGGTTTTTCTTCCCTCCCCCACCAACTCCACTTTCATTCCCTGGGATTTCGGGTTCTTGCAGTGGTGAGAACAATGCACCTTTATCAGGTGGTGTCTGTTGACTCTGGCGGGGTTGAGTCGCTTTCTGAGGCCCTCCTCTCCACCTCCAGACTGGGTACAATGCATTATTATAGTTCATCTTCCCTTCGTGTCTTTGAACACTGTGTTTAAACATCTATTTCTGGGTGGGTCTTATGCAGTATCTATTGATCACCTCGATGAAGAATGAGAAAATCACTTTCCAATGACGCCTTTTCCTTATCTCCCATTG